AAATCAATATATGGACTTAAACAAGCTTCCCGACAATGGTATCTTAAGTTTAATGATATCATTACTTCTTTTGGGTTTAAGAAAAACACCGTTGATCAGTGTATATACATGAAGGTCAGTGAGAGCAAATTTATTTTCTTAGTCTTATATGCTGATGATATTTTGCTTGCTACTAATGATCTTGGTTTATTATATGAAACCAAGAAATTTCTCTCTAAGAACTTTGAAATGAAAGACATGTGTGAGGCAACTTATGTGATAGGAATTGAAATATTTTGTGATAGATCACAAGGAATTTTAGAGTTGTCTCAAAAAGGCTATATTAACAAAGTTTTAGAGAAATTTAAGATAGACAAATGTTCAACATGTATAGTTTCGATTCAAAAGGGAGACAAATTTAGTCATATGCAATGTCCAAAGAATGAATTGGAACGAGCACATATGAAAAACATTCCTTATGCATCTGTCGTTGGGAGCTTGTTGTATGCTTAAACTTGCACTAGACCCGACATTAGTTTTGTTGTTGGGATGTTAGGCAGGTATCAAAGTAACCCACAAATAGATCATTGGAAAGCGCAAAGAAAGTTCTCAGGTACTTGCGAGGAACTAAAGACCATATGCTTACTTATAGAAGGTGTGATCATCTAGAAGTGGTCGGTTACTTAAATTCAGACTTTGCTGGATGTGTTGAGAGTAGAAAATCTACATTTGGTTATATGTTCCTCTTGGCTGAAGGAGCAATCTCATGGAAGAGTGCGAAGCAGTCCGTCATTGTTGCATATACCATGGAGGCCGAGTTCGTGGCGTGCTTTGAGGCCACAAGTCATGGTTTATGGCTGCGCAATTTTATTTCAAGACTTAGGGTTGTTGACAATATAGCCAGGCAGCTGAAAAGTTACTGTGATAATGCCGCAACAATCTTCTTTGCCAAAAATGACAAGTATTCAAATGGTGCGAAACATATGGATATTAAGTATTTAGTCGTCAAGCAACAAGTTTGAGAACGTAGAGTGTCAGTTGAACAAATTAGCACAAATCTTATGATTGCAGATCCTTTAACAAAAGGATTATCGCCCAAAACATTTAATGAACATGTTGAAAGAATGGGTGTTATTGGATGTCATTAATGTTATTGTATTATGTTTGTTTTTGTTTAATAATATGACACTAAGGGCGTGTTTGGAACTCGTTCTAAAATGATTTTATTTTTTGTATGAAAATGAAAACGTTTTCAATCTCAGTTAGAAATCATTTTTGAAAATGTGTTTGGTAGTTTTATCAAGAAATTATTTTCTATATAAAAAAAACCCATTAATGTCTCTCTCTCTCTGCTCGAGAGAGGAGAAAACGAAAATAAAAAATGAAAAACGACTAAAAATCGTTTTTCATTTCTCTCTCATTTTACACTAAACTAAAAAATCATTTTCATTTCCGTTTTTTGTCTTTATTGCGCCAAACGCCGTTTTGAAAACGTTTTCATTTTTTCTTTCTCAAAAAACGGGAAAATAAAAATGAGATCAATTTCAAACACGGCCTATGAGCTCACTTTTGTTCCCAGTATATCTTGTTTTCAATGTTGTATACATGATTGTTATAGATAAATGTTTGACATGATTGTCTTAACGAAGACATTAAAATGGACACTATTACATCTCTTAAGTATGAATCATTTTAAATAGAGGTCTAATGTTGTAGCACATGGAAGGGAGTGCGTTAATTTAGTGATGCACAACCGCCATGGCTCACATTATATTTTCTGTTTAATTATGATATTATGTGGTAGTCAATTAAAGGAAAGTTTTAGTATAATATACTTATGCACATTATTGCTATACTATTAAACCATGTCAGGAATATTATATAGGCCAAGTGGGAGAATGTAAGAATTACTTGGAAGCCCATTAATATTATTTATTTAATGGTTTAATAATTATCTTAATATTAAAATCCTATTGGCTATGAGGGGTTACAACTCTTATCAAGAGATGTGTCTACATTTCATGAAGGGATGTGTGTTTTGATGGAAGACACTAATTCATGGTCTATAAAATACGAGTCTAGTCTTCTCTCCACCTTATAATTGTATATCTTCTCTCCATCAAAAAATATGTTAAAGATTAAAGAGGGTCTAGAGAGAGAAACTTAGGGCTTGTTCTTTTGAGTGAAAAACTCAAAAAAATGCAACTCGAGTTACAACTTTATTACAGTTTATGTTCTTTTAAATTTAAACTCGAGTTTAAATTCGAGTTTAGGACTAAAACTCGAGTTCAAGTTTCTCCTTCAACTCGAGTTCGAAAACTTGAACTCAAATTAATGAATAATATTTTTTCTATTCTTAAAAATGCTATAACTTTTTCGTTTTAATTCTGATTGAGATGATTTTTTTTTCTATGCGTTGACAACGAAAAGACAAATAAAACTCACCCATATACCCTATTAAAATTTTTCATCAGCATTGAGTTTTTATTAAAATACCATCTAAATACAAATTCAAGTTTTGACTCACTTAAACACACATTCAAAAAGATTCTTATCTCAAACCATAACTCAAATATACACAACCAAACACAAACTCAAGTTACAAGTTCAACTCAAGTTATAACTCAGATTCAACTAAAGAATTATAAGTTAAACTTCAAAAGAACAAGCCCTTAGATTCTACTTCTCCTTCAAATTCCCTGCACAAGTGATCTTTTCAAATCAAAATAATGCGTCAAGGTACACTTATAATTATTATTCTGTGAGAATCATGATGTTCTAAGATATTTGGATATTATAGATCTAAAATTTTACAATTCTTACAAAAAACAAGTGTTTTTTCCTTAGTAGTAGCATGTTCTGTTTCCAACTGGACATGATTAATAACAGTGACACTTAGAATTGTAAGGATACCACTAGTTGGAGTCTGAATTGTACCCAAGAATTGAAAAACTGACATTTCAACCGATAAAAATCTGTATTTTGGAAGTACTAACGTGGAAATGGAAGTATAATATCTTTACTGCATAATATAAATATCGATATTTTCATAAAAAAGTGTAGTTGTTTAATGATTAAATATCATGGAAATTTTATGTAAATTTCGTGGAAATATTCTTAAAATTTTGAGAAATATTAAGAACTTTATAGTTTTTAGTGTACTTCTTAATAATGAAAATGTTATGTCATTTGTTACTCCACATTCCATGTTTATTTTAATGTGAATTTTCGTATTTTATGTTAATTTTTATTGACATCAACATTTTCATAAAACTTCAGTATTGATATTTCCATGGATATAGATATTTTCATCCGTATCAAGTCTCTTATAAAAATGCATAATCTACATTTTTTAGTTTGGCTGGAAACTAACGGCACGGGAAATAATCTAGTTTAGAGATAAAGAAATTAATGATAGGAATTTGAGGAAAAATTGGTAACCTTAAATTCGGATCTATTATATTGCTAGATTGCTACAAGTAATGGTAGAAACTTTTGGAGAATATTAGAGAAAAAAAGAAATCTAGAGAGAAGAGAGGATTGAAAAAAGAAGGGCAAAACTTGAAATAACATAGATATATAAATTTCAAAAATCATATTTACTGATATCTTTAAGTAAACTTTTTTTTTTTTTTTTTGAAATTTTGGATAATATATTTCAAAAAATGGAAAGATAATCACACACTAATTTAAACACATTGTTCTTGCTATAAGACATATGACATTGACTAATAACCAATTTTATCAGTAAATTAGAATGAAGATCAAGATAAAATATGTACAAGACTCCACAAGTAAAAATCACTCAAAAAAGTACACTAAAAATCAAGCACACTAAAAATCAAGCACATACATCTCTTAAACATATCCTCTATAAACAATGGATAATCCGATCAATCAATATTGAGAAATCTATATCATGAAGGATACATAATACAAAGAAACACATCTTACAGATGAAAAAGACAGTCAAACACTAAATAGACCAAAGAATAATCCAAACTAATTGGGATAAGAAGTATCGTTATTACAAACGGAAAAAAAAAATTCACATGTTCAAACATAAAAACATGAGAGTGAGGCCCCTCAACACTAAAGAAATAAACGATAGAAAAGAATGAGTGGTAAACACACTTGAATAATAATAACAAGGGACAACGTGTGCACTGTAAAAAAACTCAGGCCCCATTCATTTCGCTGATTCGAGTTTAGAATTCGAGTTTTGCTACAGTAAAAAGCTCTCACAAACAATCACATCTAATTTTTTTACTACAGTAAAAAACTCTCACATAAAATTACTTCTTAACTCGAATTAAAAACTCGAATCAGCGAACTAAACGGGCCCTCAATTTCTCTCCCGGATGAAAATCTTCACAGAATAGGGCAAGACAAAAATTAACTGTCTAAAAATGCATTCACGACTAACGACAACCACTTTATCCCTATTCTAGATTTGATTTGACAACCGTTTTTGGATGGTGGCACCCTTACTTTAAACTAAACCTACGAGAAGCTTATAGATAAAATTTAGTGACTAGTACAATCAATCTACGATCATAAAAGCTCATATTTTTTCTCTTTCTCTATCTCTTTCCTAAGTAAACATATATATATATATATATTTTTTTTTTTTTTGATAGAAAGTAAACGTGCTATTACTTACAAAAAGATTTAAAAGTACGTCGTTTCCAATATCTTTGTAATAATTTAAATTATTAATTCTCTTACGAAAAGAAAAGGAAAGAAAAACCACCCGAACGGACTTGGAGTTGATGGGTGAGTTTGTATGGGCCATTTTGGGTCAGTGCGGAAGGTTATCCGTGAAGCCTTAGTTAAATGGGCCTGGCCCAACTGACGTAATCCCGATCAATAACAAGCCATGAATAATGTCAAACGTATTTTGTTTTCCTTCATTTTTATCAGGTATGGCAGAGACTAGATAAGAGAAGAGTGAGTCCTACAAAAATAAATAAATCAAATAAAAAATAAAACAAACCTGAATAACTTGATCAGTTGATTTGGTTGTTCTGACCACCACCCAAACCCTCCCTCAAACTCACCCTTTCTTCTTCTCTCCTCTCTCTCTCTCTCTCTATTGCTCTGCAAGTGTTTTGTACAAAAACCTGCTTGTTTGAAACCCTAGATTCTCTGAAACTCCATTTCCGTTTCTGTTCTTCTCTCGCTCGCTCAGTCCATTGGCTTTGTTGTATCGGCGGAGCTCCAATCCAGTGTCTTCTTCTTCTTCTTCTTCTTCGTTTCGATCTCGTCAATCTCTCGCCTTCCATCTCCGTTTCTCGACCGTCCTCCCATGGCCGACGGCAAGTTCGATCTGCCTGACGATATCATCTCCTCCAAACACTCCGATCAGCCTTGGACCGTCAAAGGTATTTCTGCTTTATTTGATTCGTCTGTGCTTTTGGTAAATTAGTGGTTTCGCTTGATTTTTCCTCGGGATTCGTTCGATTCCGGGCTAATGCGAAGTTAAGCTTTAATTGATTGGACTTGGTTCATTTCTCCGTTATCGAAAATTGAATTCGGTAATTAGTATTTTGAGCATCGTCAGACATTCGCATTTCTCACATTTTAATTCCGTTTATTGTTTGTGCTTCAGATCACGATCTCTCTCTCTCTCTCTCAATTTTTTAAATCTCTCATCTTTTTTGGTTTTTTTTATTCGTCTGGTCAATTTTTCTGGTGATACCTACTGGTTTATGGTTTCTTTATTTTCGAAGAAATTCACTCAAAGAATTGGTTCAGTACTACAAATCGTTTGTAAATCCGTAATTGAAGTATTTCTTTAGGCAAGGAGTTTGTTGTTATTTTTGTTGTCGAGTTTTCTAGAGAAGTAAATAAGACCAAGAATTTGCGTTTCTGCATTGATTCATCTCATTCGACAACTATTTAGATTATTTACCTCGCATAGCCGATTTTTTTTTCTTGCCCCCAAATCACTAATTTTTATTTAGTCCACTTAATTAATAGACAGGCCTTGGGGTGTGGAAGTACTGAAAATAATGTTCCGTGATTGAGATCTATCTAGTTAGCGGGATTTTCTTCCCTATGATGATGGCGATTGCATCTTGTAGACTGAGTGTTATGTTTGAGGCTTTTAGCTATTAATAAGTGCTCATTTCAGCTCCTTAATTTAAAGAAACTCTATTTTAGTTGATCGGCTTTGCAGGATTTTCTAATATTGTTTGCTTTTGTACTGCTAGGAAGGGGTTTGCATTAGTTCAAACTTTTTTCCTTTCTGTTCTCTCTCTCTCTCTCTCTAGTTTGAAAGAATTATGCTCTTTCAGTTTATGATTGATGTGGTATGTCAGGTGTTTATTTATTTCAAAGAGTTGCTGAGGCGCCAAATTCTTAATAGACTTGTTAGTATTGGATATCCATTTGCTGGTGTATGCAAATGTTTTAGTATGTTTGGATGCGGCATGTATGGAAATACTTTAGTGTGTGTGGATGTGGCATGTGTTACCTTTTTCTTCACATATGCCTCTTTTGTTGATGTGATTCTGTATATCGACAAGTAGTTTAATGCGTGTAGCTGCATGTGAAAATTGAATTGTCTTGTCCACATCACAATAGATATTTAATTCATCAATTAGGCTGTTACTGTGATCAGAGTCATTATCAAGAATGAATGTTGTCACACTTTACTCTATTAAAGTTTTAGGAAATCTAAAACTAGTACTCTGATAACTATCCTGAACAGTCACTCTGACAGTCGTAGCCATTATGATGGATTTTCCATCAGATGGTATCAAAATCACAACATTATGTTCCGTTTTCACAACATTTCCAAATTCGTTTAACTCGTAACGGGGTTTTAATTAATTACTTAACAAGAAAGTCTTAAAATTGATTGGCTACATCAAAGATTTGGAATCTTTGTTGGTTATTTTCTAATTTTTTTCCTCACTTATTTTATGCTCTCTTTTTTTAATCATCTTTATGTCATCCTGGTTTAAGAAGGAAACTGTTGTATATGTTTGTTTATATTATTTTCTGATTTGTTTGCATACTTTTATTAGTTGAAAGTGAAACTTCTGGAGGAAATGGTGGGGAAAAGGTGCTTTCTGGGTCACTTGATGAGTCGAGAGGTATCTATATTTGCTTGATCCTTTTGGAAAATTTTTTACCTCCCTCTTTTGGTGGGAATAGAGCTTTTCATTAATTTATTTCTTTTAATGTGATTTATGTTGTCGATTTACCGAATTACTGCAGATCTACCGGTCTCAGAAAGCAGCATACCTTTGTCTCCCCAGTGGCTTTATGCCAAACCAACTGAATCTAAGATGGTAGGTGCTTTGGGTTGCCTTCAATCATGGTTGCTTCGTTTTTATTTCTGATAAAAAAAAAGAGAGGAAAAAAATATAATACAGATGATGATTTGATGCTTGTTTAAAAAAAAAAAAAGAATATGATGATATGATGCATATTGCATAATCGTTCAAGCGAGGGAAACTGTAGTACTCTGGCTTGGTTCTCACCCAACATTTTAGTAGCTGAGGTGATATAAAGGCTTCAGATCTTAGGCCCTTATATCACCGAGGCAGAGGCCAGTGTACCATATCTCTTTCTAAGCTGCAGCTTTGGTTTCACTTTACCTTTTTCTCAACTCTTTCAACATATAAAATTTTTAGGGAATGAATTCTGAATATTACATCTACCAATTGAATATTTGTAATTCTTAATTATTTCATGGTACGAACAGAAGAAGCCTCTTTATTCCATCTGTCATTGTACTGATTTATCGAACATGTGCTGCCGTCATTTAGCCTTTCACCTTAGATTCCTGTTTTTGATATAAATATATATATATATATATATATATATTATTATATGGCAGGAATTGCGTCCTTCAAGTTCACTTGCACACCCCACAGAAAACAACCAAAAGGATGGCTGGCGTTTGGAAGGTTCTGAGGACAAGAAGGATCGGAGGCGGCTTAACACTGATGGTGAAAGTAGCCGCCGCTGGCGTGAAGAGGAAAGAGAAACTAGCTTACTTGGTGGTAGAAGGGATCGCAGGAAAGTAGAGCGCCGAGAAAATGTTTCAATGAGGGAAACAACTGAAAATCGAGCATTACCCGCTTCCGACCGATGGCATGATGGTCGTAACTCTGTCCATGAAGCAAGACGTGATAGCAAATGGTCATCGAGGTGGGGTCCTGAAGACAAAGATAAGGAGTCACGAAATGAGAAGAGAACAGATGTGGAGAAGGAAGATGCTCATAATGAAAACCAGACTTCTGTAGGTAGCAATCGGTCTGCTTCTGAACGTGACTCAGACTCGAGAGATAAGTGGAGGCCACGCCATAGAATGGAGGTTCACCCCAGTGGGTCAGCGACATATCGTGCTGCCCCGGGATTTGGACTTGAAAGAGGAAAGACAGAGGGTTCAAATTCAGGATTTACCCTTGGACGGGGAAGGGGAAATGTTATTGGGAGATCATCTTCCTTGGGCCTAACTAACGCTGCTGTTCCTGAAAAAATTGAGAGTGTTCCTGGAAAGCCAAGGTACTCGTCTGATCATTTTTGCTATCCAAGGGGGAAGCTTCTTGACCTTTACCGTCTGAAGAAGCTTGATCCATCTTTTGCTACAATGCCAAATGGGATGGAGGAACTACCGCCTGTAACTCAAGTAGACTTGGCTGAACCGTTGGCTTTTGTTGCCCCTGATGATGCAGAGGAGGTAGCAAAAAGATTTGTTCAATGAACTTTTTTCTCTTCCCCTGCATTCTGTATTTTTTTTTAATTGAAATTTATTTTTTGTTTGTATCTGGTTTGTAATAGGCCATCCTTCACAGCATATGGAAGGGAAAGATTACGAGTAGTGGTGTAGCTTATAATTCTTACAAAAAGGGGGTGTCAACTGACAATATAAGAGGTACCTTTTTCAGCTTAGTGGTGGCCTCTGGCCTCTGACATCTGTCCAGAACAAAAGTAATTCTTACTCTTAAAGGTGTTGTCTTTTCAGATGTTGGAGAAGTTGAATCAATAGATGGAGTTGTGGATATTCTTCCGTCAACCCTTATTGAGGAGACTGATGATGCCACACTCGTAGCAAATGATGATAGTACTTTGTGGAACTATGATTCACAAAGGAAAATTGTTGATGGTGGGTTGCAGTTTGTTTTACTTTTTGAGTATTGACTTGCTTAGAGGGTCCTGTTCTCACATCCAAATTAATTATGTGTGAATAATATATATATATATATATATATATATTTTTTTTTTTTTCCTTCAGAAAAGGATGTTAAGCATAAAGAAAAGGAAGAAAAGGCTACCTCAGCAAAGGGTCCTGGTGGATCGAACTCAATAAGTTCAGAAAGTAATGGTATTTGTAATGAGATAGAGATTGGTGGCACATACCACAGTGTCTTTCAGCCCAATGTTGACACAAATAGGCAAAAGGTAGCTTCTTCTTTTACGTGTTATCCATGCTTTGATGACACTTGTTCTGCCAAGTTTCTTGATAATTCAACTTTTCACTATATTTTGTCTCATATGGATTATAATCAGAATGGCAACACCAGCGGTGAGGATAGAGAGTTGGAAAAGAATGTCCCACCCGAGGATTTATGCTTGTATTACCTTGATCCTCAAGGGGTGATCCAGGGACCATATTTGGGGGTTGATATTATCTCATGGTTTGAGCAAGGTTTTTTCGGCAGAGACTTGCCTGTCCGCCTGGCAGATGCTCCTGAAGGAACACCTTTCCGAGATTTGGGTGAGATCATGCCACATCTGAAAGCTTTGGATGGGCAAGTCAATAATATTGATCAAAGTTTGGAGATGGAAGAAGCCGGAGGCTTTGGAGTTAATGTTGGGTCAAATTCCCCTTCATCTGCTCTTGTTTCTGGAGTTAGCGATTCATCTGTTGGAAATGAGCCCAGGTCATTACTACCTGAGTTCATTGACCTCCCAGCTAAGCTTGTTCAGTTAAGAATATCTGAACCTGAAGATCCACAGCAATTGCCACATTTCAAGGGTCAGAACTTTCATGATTTTGTTGCGCAGGATGAAGGTTTTTAACTTGTGTCATTATTCTTTTTATGACATTACTATTATTTCGTTACTACTACTACTACTACTACTACTACTACTACTACTATTAGTATTATTATCTTCTTTCAGAACCTATAATAACAGTTCTCTGTTTTTCTAGAAATTGTATTTCCCGGAAGACCTGGGAACCCTGGCTATCCTGCGGCAAAATCTTCTGCAAATGCTCGTGATCCTTTAGCAAGTTCTGGTGGCCACCTTCTTCCGCTGCCTGAATTTGCAGAACCTGGTTTGCGAAATCAGACAGAAACTAAATTGCATCCTTTTGGCTTGCTGTGGTCTGAGCTGGAAAGTTCTCAAATAAAGCATGCAAAGTCATCTAGTACATCTTCTAGCCTAGGCCGGACTGCTTCTTTTGGTGGCATGACTGATCCAGCTGCTGTTGCTGACACATGGTCTGATGTCTATGGAAAAAATACACTTCCGGATCCCAACTTATATCAAGATGTGATGAATGTGCGCAATTTATCACGAATTGAACATGAACCTAGCCATCTTGATTTAGCAGATCAGTTTGTGTCGCAACAATTGCAGCAACAGCAGCTCCAACAACGGAATATGTTGTCTAGTTTTGCTCAATTGAATGAATCAGTCTTAGAGCATCTGCCAAGTGAAAATCTTATTCACCACCAACAATTGGCGAGCCTTTCTCCACCAGATCTAGATCATCTTATGACGCTTCAGCTGCAGCAGCATCGACAGCTTCAGCTCCAGCAACATCAGCAATTGCAGCAACAGCAATTTCATCAAAAGCAAAAGCTGTTGCAGGAACAACAGCAATCTCATGCACGGCAGGTGTTGCTAGAACAGTTATTGCATGGTCAAATGCAGGATCCTGGACTAGGACAACCTCATGTTGATCCTATAAGAGCTAATAATGTTCTAGATCAGATATTTTTGGAGCAACACCTTTTACATCAACTACAACAACAGTCTCACCACCCTCCTAGGCATGTGGATCCATCTCTGGAGCAGTTCATGCAAGCAAAATTTGGTCAGACACCACAACAGGAACATCAAAGAGATTTATTGGAGTTACTATCTAGAGCACAGCCTGGCCAACAGTCTTTGGAACATCAGATGCTTCAGCATGAGCTGCTGCAAGCAAGGCAGTTGTCAATGGGAATGAGGCAGCGGGCCAGTATGGAAGAAGAGAGGCATATCAACCCTGTCTGGCCTCAGGATGAATCCAATCAGTTCTTCAGGGCCCACGTTGGTAGTAACAGAGCTCTCTCATCTGGCTTTGGTCCATTGGATGTTTATCAGCGGCAACAGAGGCCGTTTCATGATGAGCAGTTGGGTCATCTTGAGCGGAATCTTTCACTACAGGATCGACTTCAGCTTGGACTTTATGAGCCTGCACTGCCATTTGAGCGGTCAATGTCTTTGCCTCCTGGGGCTGCAGGAATGAACCTGGATGCTGTAAATGCTATGGCTCGTGCTCACGGATTAGACATGCAGGAGTCAAGTGCACGTATGAAATCTGCTGGTCAAGTGGGACCATTTCTCTCTGGCACTCACTCTCACGGTCCTCATCACCCTTTAATTTCTAATCAGTTTCAGGCTTCACATATGGTTGGACTTGAGGGCCGTTGGTCTGAGAAGAATGAGCTACTTGAAAATAACTTTATTGATTCTCGGTCTCAATTGCATATCCCTGCCGAGCAACAGAGAAGGGAATCCGAAGTAAACGTGACTTCTGAGGATGCAACATTATGGATGTCAGATGGACTTAATGATGAGAAGTCAAAGCGATTGTTGATGGAGTTGCTCAATCCAAAATCAGGCAATCAACTTACTGATCCGTTGGATGTGAGCAATGAGCCTTTGTCTGAGGGAAGGATGTTATTTGGCCGGTACTCTGGGTCTGGGTCAAGCTTATCTGATATCCCTTTCAGTCAAGCTAATTTAAATAATCCATATGGAGTGAGAGCATATAGTTCAATTCCAAGTGAACCACCACAAGAAGAGCACACGAGCAGTGATAAACTGCCCTTGAAATCTGATTCTAGGGGGCCCTCCGTGAACAAAGAGCGGCCGGAGGTGCATGGGTTGAAAAGTGAGGCTATGCTTAAAGGTCGGGATTTCGAGATCCAACAAAGCATGGTTGAGCAAGCAGGCTTGGTAGATCGGTAAGTTCCACTTGTATATATTGCATTGAAGGAAAACCAGAAATAATTCCAATTGATAAGAGTCCACAGGGACCAGACTAGCTGTCAGGGCGGGTTCATCTTTACTGTTTTGAGAAGATACTGAAGCAGTACACCAGTGAATGACTTAGTTTTTTTTTATAATGATTTTTTGTCCCTTATTCTGGCAGAGTGTCAGTCTCATTCAAAGGGCAAGAAAATATTCTGCTTAGACGCCCATCTGTGTCACGGACGCCATCATCCCAGGATGGATTGTCTGAACTAGCATCTGATCCAGTTTCAAGGGGGATGAATTCTCTGAGTGGTGTTCCTGATGGTATGTTATTGCTTGAAACTGTTGCCTGAATAGTCGATTATTTTCCATTCCACATGCAGGGTTCTGTTCTTGTTTTTTACTTTATTTTTCTGTATTTCCTTTCTGGGTTGGGATGCAGGGCTGAGATAAATTATAACAAAAAGTGATTAATTATAGCTGTTAAATTTCAGGGGTTCGTCATGATACTGCGGGTAATCTAATAAACCAAGGTCCGGATGTTACAGCATCTTCCAAGAGGGATATGCGCTTCCGCCGTACTTCATCCGGCAGCGAGGCTGATGTCACAGAGGCATCCTTCATTGACATGTTGAAGAGTAATGCAAAGAAGACTGCTCCAACAGATACCCATTCGACGGCCGGAATTCCAGATTCATCTGATGGAATGCAAGGCCGAAGTGGCAAAAAGAAGGGAAAGAAAGGGCGGCAAATCGACCCTGCTCTGCTTGGCTTCAAAGTTACCAGCAATAGAATTATGATGGGTGAAATTCAAAGAATAGAAGAATAGTGCAATTTTAACATTTTCTTTATCGTTCCTTTCCTGATAGTTCAATAGGTTCAGAGTGTAAAGTACCCGTCGATGAATTTTTGTGTTTATAATTTTTTCCCCTTTTAGTGACAAATGTGGTAAATTTTAGACAAAGGGGTATGGCAAAATGCCTGGTTTACAAATCTGAATGTGCAGCTACTGGATATAGTTTTGTATAGACTAACAAGGTTCATAATGAAAATAATTGCTTAGACAAAAAGAAAAATATAATTTTAATTAAACTCGTCGTTTGTACTTTTGCCTGTTTTTAGCCATTTTCTTTTTCAGCATTTTTCACTCTTATTAAGAAAACCTCGTTACGGTAGCAGTGTTTAGAAGTAAAAATGTAAGTTATCGTAAAGGTCGCAGGAAAACAGAAATATAAATGTCATTAACTTGATGGATTTTTCTCTTATTTATCTTAAATGTAAGTTATCGTAAAGATAGCAGGAAAAAAGAAATATTCAGGTAAATATTGAAATTCATTATTTGCAAACAATTTATGAAAAAGTGCATATTTCTTTTAATTCAAATTTTGGATATTTATCTCATTTACTCTATCCACTTCTGAAGAGTATTTGTGTATATATATATATACACACACACATATATATAAGTTTTTTTGGTCCCTAAATATAGTTTATAAGGGTTATGAAAAGAGGCATATAATAATCTTCCGATTTTGAAGCTCCTAGGCGTTATTCCTTAAAATTTCCCATACTTGTGATTTGGCCGGTCTGACCAGACCACCATCCAAAAGTCCCAAACGCTTCCCCTCTCTCTCTCTCTCTCTCTCTCTCTCTCTCTCTCTCTCTCTCTCTGTGAGTCTCGTCTCTGCAAGTGTTGCTCTGATAATTGCCGTTTGAAAACCCTAGATTCTTTGAACCTCTAGCTCTGTTTTTGGTCCATTGGCTTCGCTGAGCTACAATCCACTGTCTTATTCTTCTTCTTCTTCCTTTTCTTGATCTCTTCACTCTTTCAACTTCTTCCTTTCTCGACCTTCTTCCCATGGCTGACGGCAAGTTCGATCTACCTGACGATATCCTCTCCTCTAAACACCCCGATCATTCTTGGACCGCCAAAGGTATTTCTTGCTTCTTCTTCGTCTTCTTCTTAATTTGGTTTGTTGTTGATTTTGGTGAATTAGTGTGTTTGAATGCGTCTTCTGTGTATTTGATGGATTTGCCGGTAATGAAGGATTGAGTTTTCTTGATCTGAGCTTAATTTTGCCTTTTTGAACAAAATTCAAGTTCGTTAATTAGCAGTTTGAACATCGTTTGAGACATTCGGATTTTCGTCCTTTTTATTTCATTCATCGGTTTTTTACGCTTCAAATCACATTTTTTCTTGAGTGTGGTCAATGGTTGGTAACAAATTTACAAATTCCACATTTTTCTTGTAAGTTTTCTTGGCAACCAGATTAGAGGTACAAGGAATTTTCAATTTTTTCAGTGGATGAATTTTGGAAATATGTAAACTATGTACTGTTTGGTTAGAGATTTCTTTCATCGACTCTCTAATTTGTGAAGATATTTTAGCATGCGTGGTAATGGCATGAAATATGCCTCTTCTATTAGTGTGAAAGTAGTACTCCCCTCATTTGGAGATTCTTGCACTCATTTTTATTATTCATATTAGCTTGGTCTTCGGAGCCAAACTGTTGTAATTATTTGTTTGTAATGTGTTTTGTTGTTTGTTCGTTCTTTATTAGTTGAAAGCTCTGGAGGAAATGCTGGAGAAAAGATGCTTTCTGCGAGTCTTGATGAGTCAAAAGGTATTTATATTTCCTTGGATTTTGTTTCTCTCTCTCTCTCTCTCATTTCTCCCTCTTTTCCTTCTTATGTGATTTTTGTTGTGGATTTACCAATTACTGCAGATTTGCTGGCCTCAGAAAGCAGCATACCGTTGTCTCCCCAGTGGCTTTATGCCAAACCAACTGAGTCTAAGATGGTAGGTGCTTTTTGAGCCATCTGCAGATTTCGCTTTTATAGGATTAGAAAATTGAAAGAAACTGTTTTCTTTTTGTTTTGTTTTTTGTTTTTTTTCCCTCCTCTCTTTAACAGCAAAGTTTTTGACAGTGCTTGATAATTTTAAAGCCTTTAACTCTTAATCAACCTGATGTCGCTGAGCCAAAGGCCATTTATCCTACGCTAAAATTCTTAGTTCCTTTTTCCTTGTTTTCCCAACCTTTTTCAAGCATATGAAACTTTTTTTGAGAAGTCTGATTCTTTCATGGATCAAATTGAAAAAGTATGTGTACGTGTTTTTTCTCTTCCCCCTTAAGTCCCCCTTCTATTTCATGTAAGCTGGCGTCATTGGCATTTCATAACTATATCTGTATTTTTTGTTTTCTTTTAATGGCAGGATATACGTCCTTCGAGTTCGCTTGGGCACCCAACAGAAAATAACCAAAAGGATGGTTGGCGTTTTGAAGGGTCTGAGGACAAAACGGATTGGAGGCGGCTCAACACTGATGGTGAAAGTAGCCGCCGCTGGCGAGAAGAGGAAAGAGAAACTAACTTACTTGGTGGCAGAAGGGATTGTAGGAAAGCAGAGCGCCGAGACAATGTTTCGATGAGGGAAACAACTGAGAATCGAGCACTGCCTGCTACTGACCGACGGCATGATGGTCGTAACTCTGTTCATGAAGCAAGACGTGATAGCAAATGGTCATCAAGGTGGGGTCCTGAAGACAAAGATACGGAATCACGAATTGAGAAGAGGACAGATGTGGAGAAAGAAGATGCTCACAACGAAAACCAGACTTTTGTAGGTAGCAATCGGTCTGTTTCTGAACGTGACTCAGACTCAAGAGATAAGTGGAGACCACGCCATAGAATGGAGGTTCACCCTAGTGGGTCAGCCACATATCGTGCTGCCCCTGGATTTGGAGTTGAAAGAGGAAGGACAGAGTGTTCATATTCAGGATTTACCCTTGGACGGGGAAGGGGAAATGTTATTGGGAGATCATCTTCTTTGGGCCCAACTAATGCTATTTTTCCTGACAAAAATGAGAGTGTTCCTGGAAAGCCAAGGTACTCATCTGATAATTTTTCCTATCCAAGGGGTAAGCTTCTTGACCTTTACCGTCTGAAGAAGCTTGATCCATCTTTTGCTACAATGTCAAATGAGATGGGGAATTTACCACCTGTAACTCAAGTAGACTTGGCTGAACCGTTGGCTTTTGTTGCCCCTGATGCTTCAGAGGAGGTGACAAATATGATTTTTCAATGACCTATAATTTCTACATACTTTTTACCATATAGTTGTCATTTTAACTTAAATTTGTTTCCTGTCTTGTATCTGGATCATATAGGCCATCCTTGACAGCATATGGAAAGGAAAAATTACAAGTAACGGTGTGGTTTATAATTTATATCAAAAGGGGAGATCAGCTGAAAATGTAGCAGGTATTTTCCAGCTCAGTCGCCTCTGACTTCTGTCCAGAACAAATGCCGTTCTTACTCTTAAACTTATTTCGCTTTCTAGGTATTGGTGAATCTGTTGATGAAGTTTTGGATGTTCTTCCATCAACCCTCATGGAGGAGACCAACGACACCTTGTTGGATGGTACTTTGGGGGATGGGGATTATGATGCACAAAGGAAAATGGTAGATGGTGGGTTGCAGCTCAATTTATTATTGAATATTTCCTTAAAATATTTTGGTAATCTATCAGTATCCTACATGAATTGATAAACAAATTATGTTTTATTCAGGAAAAGATGTTAATCATAGGGAAAAGGAAGATAAATTCACATCAGCCAATGCTACTGATGGCTCGATCTCAGCAGTTTCTGAAAGTAATTGTATATGCAGTGATGTAGATAGTGATACTCCATATCATAATGTTGTTCAGCCCGATATTGACACAAGTTCAAAGGTAGAATCTTGTTTTAGCAATCATCCACATCTTTCATGACATTGATTCTGCCACTCTCCTTTTTTTTAATTTTTAACGTCAGTTTCAAGCTACCTGATACTTCAAGTTATAAGTTTCTCACTATATAATATTTTCTTACTATATAATTTTTTTTTTTTATGGAACACTATCAGAATGGCAACACCACCTGGGAGGCAAAGGAGTTTGAAAAGGATATCCCACCTGAGGATTTATGCTTGTGTTACCTTGATCCTCAAGGGGTGATCCAGGGACCATTTCTTGGGGTTGATATCATCTCATGGTTCGCACAAGGTTTTTTCGGAACAGACTTGCCTGTCCGCCTTGTAGATGCTCCTGAAGGAACACCTTTTCGGGATTTGGGTGAGATGATGCCACATCTGAAAGCTTTGGATGCGCAAGTTGATAACTTTCATCAAAACTCAGAGTTAGAAGAATTCAGAGCTGTTGAAGTAAATATGGGGTCTACTTTACCTTCATCTGCTCCTGTTTCCAGGATTACTGATTCATCTGTTGGAAATGAGGCAATCCCATCATTATATGAGTTCAATGGCCTCCCATCTGAGTTTGATCAGTGGAGAGTATCTAAACCTGACAATCCACAGCAAGTGCCACTTTTCAAGGGTCAAAGCTTTCATGATCTTATCGCACAAGATGAAGGTATTATGTCATTGGTGCTTTTATGAATTTATTTTTATATCTTAACATTTCAAGGATTTTGTTGTACAAGATGATGGTTTTGACCTTTGTCATTTACTTATGGGCTTTCTGACGATCCCATCCTAACAATTCTTTGTTTTTCCTGAAAATTCATTGCCAGGAAACCCTCTGAACACTGGCTATCCTACTGCTAAATCTTCAGGGTACACCCATGATTCTGTCGCAAGTTCTAGCAGTCACCTGACTCTGCAGCCGGAATTTACTGAACCTGGTTTGCGAAATCAGACTGAAACTGAGTTGCATCCCTTCGGTTTGTTTTGGTCTGAGCTAGAAGGTGCTCAAACGAGAAATCCAAAAAGTACATCTTCTAGCTTGGGCAAGACTTCTTCTGGTCACATGGTTGATCCAGCCATTGCTGCTGAAGCATGGTCTGATGTTTACAGGAAAAATAAGCCTTCAGATGCAAACCTGTATCAGGATGCGTTGACTGCTCGCAATTTCTCACACATGGAATGCGAACCCAGCCATCTTAATTTAGCAGCAGATCAGTTGATGTCGCATCAATTGCAGCAGCAGAAGCTCCAAGAACGGAATATGTTGTCTACTTTTGGACCAGTCAATGATTCGGTCTTAGAGCATTTGTCTAGTCAAAATCTTATTCACCATCAGCAGCAGTTGGCGAACCTTTCTGCACCAGATCTAGATCATCTTATGACACTTCAGCTGCAACAACATCAACAGCTTCGATTCCAGGAACAACTTAAATTGCAACAACAGCACTATCAACAAAAGCAAAAGCTTTTGCAGGAACAACAGCAATCTCATGCACAGAAGGTGCTGCTTGAACAATTTTTGCGTGCTCAAATGCATGATCCTGGTCTTGGACAGCCACATGTTGATCATTTAAGAGCTAATAATGTTCTAGATCAGGTTTTTGTAGAGCAGCAGCTTTTACATCAACTGCAACAACAGTCTCACCATGCTCCTAGGCACGTGGATCCATCTTTGGAGCAGCTCATGCAAGCAAGATTTGGTCAGACTTCGCAACAGGATCATCCAGGAGATTTATCAGATGTACTATCTCATGCACAGCTCGGACAATTTCAATCTTTGGAACATCAGATACGTCAGCATGAGCTGCTGCAAGCCAGACAGTTGTCAATGGGACTGAGGCAGCGTTCTGGTTTGGAAGAAGAGAGGCATATCAATTCTTTCTGGCCAACTGATGAATCCAACCAGTTGTTCAGGTCTGGTGGTCACCGAGCTGAGCCTTCTGGATTTAATCCATTAGATATTTATCGGCGGCAACAGAGGCCATCGCATCTAGAGCAGTTGAATCACCTTGAGAGGAACCTTCCACTACAGGAGCGACTTCAACAAGGGCTTTATGAACCTGGTTCACTGTCATTTGAGCGGTCAATGGCTTTGCCTCCTGGTGCTTCAGGGATGAACCTGGATGTTGTGAATGCTATGGCTCGTCGTGCTCACAGTTTGGATATGCAGGAGTCAAGTAAACCATTTCTTTCCAGCGTCCCTGCCCATGGTCCGCATCACCCTTTTACTCCTAATCAATTTCATGTTTCACGTGTGGATGCAATTGAAGGCCGTTGGCCTGAGAAGAATGGGCAGTTAGAAGATAACTTGCTTGATTCCCGGTTTCAACAGTTTCATATCACTTCTCAGCAGGAAAGGAATCCTGAAGTGAAGGTGACTTCTGAGGATTCATCTTTACGGATGTCGGATCAACTTAATGATGAGAAATCAAAGCAGTTACTGATGGAGTTGCTCAATCGCAAGTCAGGTAATCAGCTTTCTAATTCATTTGATGTGAACAATGCTGCACACTCTGAAAGAATGGTGTTGAGTGGGCAGTTCCCTGGATCAAGCTCATCAGATATCCCTTTGAGTCTTCATCCTGACCGAGAAGCTTTTTTAAATAATTTATTTGGTGGTGAGAGAACATTTAATTCGAATCCATGTAAACCACCACAAGAAGAGGTGGCCAGCGATGAAAAGCTGCTCGTTATGTCTAATTCCAGAGCATCCTCAGTGAACAAAGAGCGCCTGGAGGTGCATGGTTTGGAAAGTGAGGGTATGATGAAAGGTCAGGATTTTGAGACGGAACAAAGCATGGTTAAGCGGGGTGGCCTCGCAGCTCTTGATGACGGCAAGAGATCAATGAATAATCTAAGCAGGCATTCCTCCCTCGGAGTCACAGGTATCTTGACTCACTTTTTTTTATATTTAATTTATTATTATTCTTAGTCACTGTGATGGGTATATTTCTTTCTTTATTTCTTTTTTGGCATCTTTGAAATCCCTTTTATATTAAACCCGGATATCATGATGATTTTAATTTCTTACAGGTGGGATTGTAGGCATGAAAGATAAATTTGGACCATGTAATTCATTTCTGGACGGTGTTGCAACAGATAGGTGAGTTTCGTTTCTGTTCATTTTACAGAGCCCCAAGTAATTCAAACTGTCCTTGCATTCTGCATCTTTATTGTTTCTAGAGGTGCACAAGCAATTCACGTGGGAATGGCTTAGCTTTTTTTTTTTTTTTTTTCCTTTCCATTACTTTTATTAAATCCCGCCAGTACTGAGATCAATTTTCTTTACAGGATGTCAGCCTCGTTTAAAGGGCAAGAAAATATTCTGCTGAGACGCCCTCCTGTGCCACGACCACTATCATCCCAGGATGCGTTGTCTGAACTAGTATCTGATCCGGCATCGGGTGGACAAAATTCTTCGAGTGGTGTGCCTGATGGTATTGCTTCAATAATAAACTCTTTTATGTTTCTATATATTGCTGGGTTGACTGGGATGAAGGGATAGGGTTTGAATGGGGGACAAAGATGAACTCAATTAAATGTAGTGATTAATGCGAACTATGGAATTTTCAGGGGTTCGTGAAGATACAGTGGAGGGTAATCCAACGAACCCAGGTTCAGACATTACGGCGTCTTCTTCCAAGAGAGATGTGCGCTTTCTCCGTACTTCGTCGAGCATTGACGCTGATGTCTCAGAGGCATCCTTCAGTGACATGCTGAAGAGCAATGGCAAGAAGACTGCTCCAACGGATTCCAATTCAACTGCTGGTGTTCCGAAATCTACAGAAGGAGCGCAAGGCCGAAGTGGCAAAAAGAAGGGCAAGAAAGGGTCGCAAAAAATCAATCCTGCTCTTCTCGGTTTCAAAGTTTCCAACTCTACTCGCATTATGATGGGTGAAATACTACGCATAGATGACTAGTGCCGTTTAGTCTAGCCCTTCCTTTTTTCTTTGTTGTATAGTCCTCGTCTCTTGATAGGTCCTTGTTAGAGGTTTCTGGGTGTAAATTATCCCTATGAAAATTCTTTGATTCTTTTCCCCTTGTACATCTCAATGGTATATGGTGACTAAGGGGAGTGGCAAAATTGCCTTTAGTATACAATACAGATCAAGAGTGTGCAGTGACGGGATATAGTTATGTATAGACTAGAAAAGTTATATAATGAAAATAATAATTGTTAGATAGTATTGTACATAAGAAAAAGAAAGTTGCAGCTTAAGTGTTTCTTATTAGTGCCCGTCTCTAGATCTCTTTGTTTTTGTTTTTTGTTTTTTTTTTTTTGTTTTTTTTTTTTTTTTGTTTTTTGAAACCTCTTCTTTGTAGCGAAGCTTATTTGAAAAATAAATAAATAAAAACCAAAACTTGTATTTTAGAAGGAAAAAAAAAAACCCCAAAAAACAATCAGTAAATGATGCACGGGCAAATAGAAGGTGATGTTCATCCATCATAAATTTAGCTTGGTAATCTTATATTCCCGCATCCGCCATACTTTTCTATTAAATCCGCAAATAAGTGGCATTCACCTAAATCTCTCTCTCTCTCTCTAGAGAAATACAGCATTTTCTTTTTTTTAAAAAAGGAACAATATAATATACAACCAACAGCACAAATTACTAATCTCCAGGCTCCGGCAAAAGAAAATAATAATTTTTTTTATTATTTTTTATTTTTTTTGGCTTGTTTAAAGAAAATAATAGTTGGTCAACAACATTGCTCATCCACGCCATTTACCCGGGAAAAGCTCCAGAACCGTTCTTCCCATGATCCAATCCAACTCTGAAGCTGATAAAGGCACTTGATTGGCAATAAGAGAAGCAGCTTCTTTGGCTTCTTTATAACCACATTCAGGAACAACATATGGGAAGTCACTGCACCAAATTCATTCAAAACAATATGGTTATTCCATTTAATGTTTCTTAATTTTATCTTCTTTCCCCTCAAATTGTTGGTATAATTTGTAACAGAAAACAAGAACGTTCGCTTACGTGCCCCACATGACGCGGTTAGCACCAAATGTGTGAACAACTTGGGACAAGGAGTGGGATAAATCCTCATATGGGAATGGTTTCCTTGATACCCTGAAAAGGGCACTGAATTTTACATATACCTGTGGAGTTGAATATTGATATGGATTTCACATCATGAATCCAATTCAACCAACAAACACATTGATCAGGCTACAAGTCACAAAACAATTGCGTAAAGCGCGATAAAGTTATGAAGTTATGACCAAGTCGTTATTGATAACCTCTTTATCATCTGATTGTTATAGGTAATCCTCACTCAGTACTTGCGAAACAAAATAAGAAGATAAAACTTTTGAGGTAAATGATGTAATGGTGGTTGTAGGCTTGGCCTAATGATAATTCCATGCCTATCTCCAATGTTGAGGTCTAGGGTTTCGAATCCCATTACCCCAAGTTTACTAAAATACATAAATAAATAAAACTGAAGTTCCAACGAAAGCATTAGAATCCAGAGGTTTAACCAGTTACGCCAGAAGTTCTCCTGAAATCCAATTAAGTTTTAGTGTTCTCCACTAAGGGTGAGAAGGGCTAGCATACAACAAAAAGGAATAGTTAAAAGGTATTTATGTCATTTTTACCTGTGGGAATCTGGATAGGTTTAAAAGCTGAGGGAAAGCTTTACTCTCTTCATCATTCCTGCAAGACAACATCTTAAGTAGTGACAATAGTAGGGATATGCTGGTCACGAAAGAATATAACAGAAGGAAAGCTCACGTTGGTGGTTTGCAGAAAGCCAAATGATCAAGCAACACAACCGTCCGTGGAAATTCTGTGCACAGTTCCTCTATTTCTGAAATATGAAGACTGAGACCCTGAAAAATGTCCCTTTAAAGCTACAGTTTTAATCTAGATATAATATATGTACACACTATTAACAAGGCAAAATGATACCTTCATACACATGAAACCCACTGGGATTCCAAGCTCTCCTGCCTTCGAGAACAATGCCTTTCCAACTTCGTTTGTCATCTGCACAAACCCGCCACCATTATTTCAAGAAAAAAACAAAGAATAACCCTGAAACATAATAACGGTCAAAGTGATGCAGATGAGGATTATCTCGCCCTCCCTTGCTTTGAGATGAATCTAATGGATTTTCATGGAATTTTCAGGAAATTTTCAGTGTCAACAAGAATAATTAAATTACAGTAGTACATTCTTTAAAGTGAAGTCACCCTTTACCAGTTTAATGAATGTTAAAAACAAGCAAATGGTAAAAAAAACATCTTCCTTGCTTAAATCGAAGAAAAGAAGCTCTCAACTTTTTTCTAACGCGTAAGCATGTAAAGAGTTCCCACAGATCATCTTATCATTGAAGACAAAGGTTATAAGCTCACATCAGATTAAAAGGCTAATTAATACCTTCTGACCAGATGGCCATAAATATGGATTAAAGCGAACAGCTTGGTAACCATCCTAGCATCAAAGAGTATTCTGTAAAGCTCATAATTTGTCGAAGACATAAACACTGCGCTAGTTAGTTGATTATCTGAGATTTCTAGAAACCTCTGAAACAAGGCGTTCAAGCTGCTTAACCCCACTTCCATCCTCAGATGGATCAGCAAGACAACATCCCACAAATTTGGATGGGTACCTCTTCAGCACACTGTTGAAAGGAAAACAAAAAAAAAAAAAATGTTATTTGCTTTGCAGTCTTTCAAAATCCAAAATTTTTTTACATAAAAAAAATAATGAAAATTGAAGGGGTAGTATTTTGAAATGAACATCAAGAGTAATGATATACATATTATCTGACCTTGTCACTAGAGAATGGTCGAACTTGTGATTAATGGGCTGCACTATCAGTGCACCATCAACATCTGCTTCTCCCATGCACTGTCAAATACACACACACACACAGAGTAAGGAAAAACAATCACTAAAAGCAGAACAGAAAATAGTAAATAACAAGAATTGGCACATTTTTCTGTTAAGCGTTTGTCAAAAACAATAACAAAAGTCATACACTCAAAAAAAAAAAAAAAAAAAAAAAAAAAAAAAGGAAAAAACAAAAAAAAAAAAAAAAAAAAAAAAAAAAAAAAGGAGTAACCAAACTAATAATGATGAAAAGGAAAGGTGATACCTTGAGCAAGAAATCGACATTCCCAGGTAAAGTGGGTTCATTTCCCGGAAGGTAAGGGAATTTATCTGCCGCCTGTTACCAAAATCAAAACAGGGTGAAAGATCATTTTAGCCATAGGAGGGAAAAAGAAAAGGAAAAAATTGATAATTATTTGTGGGTTTTGCTTACTTCTTCAGGAGACGCCCAAACATGTAAATGGGAATCGATGATTTTGGGATCAGATAGAGAAGAAGCCATTCTTGCTGAAGATGACCTGAAATGGGATTTTCTCCAAAACGACGCAAATGGGCGCGAACGATGAGAATGGCGAGGAAGAAGTGGAACTGACAGCAGCAACCTCAGCTTCTCTGCCATTTGTATTTTGTAAATATGGATATGGAATAAACGTGGACTGTACAGTAAAGAAGTAACAGAATTACGTGCGGCACATAATTGGAGTAAACGACAATGATAATGTAGAAAGTAGGAAAGTGACAGGAGAGGACAAAATAGAAACGGCGCCAAGCAAGAAAACGACAATAAATGAAAATGTCGTCAAGCTCGGAATAGTGACAGATATATAAAGAGAAACGACCAAAAAAAGATGGGCAATATGAAAACGACAATAAATTCCTAACGACATCGACAAGCTGAGAAAGAAGGTACACGAATTAGAGGATGATAAAACAACTATGGGGCGTTAAAAATTTAAAAAAAAAACAACTTGAGTTATAACTTTATTTAAGTTGATGTTCTTTTAAGTTTAAACTCGAGTTTAAACTCAAGTTTGGGACTAAAACTTGAGTTCAAGTTTCCCATTCAACTCGAGTTCGGAAACTCGAACTCAAATTAATGAACAGTGTTTTTTATGTTCTTAAAAATGCTATAACTTTTTCGTTTTAATTCTGATTGAGATGATTTTTTTTCTATGCATTGATAACGAAAAGACAAATAAAATCTCACCCATATACCCTATTAAAATTTTCCATCAGCATTGAGTTTTTATTAAAATATTATCTAAATACAAATTCAAGTTTTGACTCACTCAAACACAAACTCAAAAAGATTTTTATCTTAAACCATAACTTAAATGTACACAATCAAACACAAACTCAAGTTATAATTCAAATTCAACTCAAAATCTACACTCAAATCACCGAACTCAAAAACGGTAAAACAACAACCCCTATATGTACCGAACAACAATTATTAACAGCAAATAAGATAACAACATCATTATCAGAAAATAATAATAATAAGAAACGACAATGCAAACTGCTAAACGATGAAAAAAGTTAACTGCGGCAAAGGAGAAAACGACAATCAAGAGGAGTCAACGACAAAAACAAAACGAATAGAAGGGAAACAAGTGCAACAACATACGATAAAACGACAATGTAGCAAAAGACATAATGAATGTAAAAACGAAACGAAGAGAAAATAAATTAGCTACGACAATGATAGAAATGAATTACTTGATTATCTTGAAAAAAAGATTGGAATACAAAAGACAATTTCATCAATTCATATCATAAACGTCACCTAAATTAACTCACGAGGTATCAACGTGATACAAACCGAAATTTAAAAGAGCTAAATTAACATTTTTCATTATAAAAAATCATTTGTCATTGGTGATTAAAAAATACAGAATACAAATACATAATATTCTCAGTTTAAAAAAATAATAATAATAATTTACTTTTTCAAATGGAGACAAACTAGGAATATGGCCGGTGTGGATATTTTATCTGCAGAGAAACAGGAGGATAAAATTGTCATTTAGAAAAAAATCATCAAACAAGTTTTTTCTAATCACTCTTCACTTCACAGTTGTAACTTGCACTTCAACTGCTGTACTATGCGACTGACGACTGTACCTTGATCACATCGCTTCTAAAAGTTCTAACAAAGTAAAAGAGGTGAAAAGACCATATTACCCCAACCGAAAACCCCTTTCTCTCATCATCATCTATAAAGTTTATAACAATTAACAACAGCCTCAGTACTAGAATCGCTTTCTCAAAAATCCTTCTTCTCCGTCCATCAATGGCCGCTCCTTTCTCAGCCCTGGTAATCTCCTCTGTTCTACCACAAACCCTACTCCCGAAAGTTTTGATTTTTTTTCTCTTTTTTATTTTCAATTTTTATTTTTATTTTTATTTTTTTGGTTTTTAATCTTATCTTTTGTGCAGTCGAATGTCGGGTCGCGAAACGTTTCGCAGATCGGAGGTTTCAGCTCCACAGCCTCTTGCAGTTCAAGCAGGCTCTGGAGGGTTTCATTGGTGCCCTCGAATCTAACGATGTCGTCTGACTTCCTCACTGGGTCCTCTTCGCGTCTCTTTCCTCTGACATCCTCGTCCAATCTCCACTCTTCTCGGACAAAACCTCGTCCTTTTAGCTCTATCCGGGCTACTGCTGAGGTTAGTTTTCTTTTCTCCTTTTCTTTTTCCCAATCTGTTTGGATGTTGTGAAAATGAGGAGGAAAATAAAGAAGAAAGTGTAAGCAATGTAATGTTACGTAATTAGAAGGTTTCATTTGTTGTGACTCCGTCAGAGTTGTTGAATTGTGGAATTCAGATTTTAGGATTATTGGGAAATTTCACAAGTTTGAAGATTCAACTTTTATATATATACATATATATCTGTGCTAGTTCTGTGGTTAGTTATCTTTTTCCTTGCTGCTTAAGTTGCAATAGTGTTTGGATATTGTTAAAATCACGAGGGAAAAAGCTAAGTATGAACTTGAATAATTATTGGAGTTTATTTGCTGTGAGACTTGTTCTATTGTGGAATTGGGAAATCGGGATTAGTGAGAAATATTTTGTAAGTTTGAAGCTTTGTCTTAATTGTTTTGTTCATCTTTTATTTTGGGGTCAATTTTAGGTAGCACCTTTACAATCAAAAGTGACCAACAAGGTGTATTTCGACATAAGCATCGGGAATCCGGTGGGCAAGCTTGCTGGGAGGATTGTGATTGGATTATATGGGGATGATGTGCCCCAAACGGCTGAGAACTTCCGTGCCCTTTGCACAGGTTTTTGTTCTGGGACTTGTTTTCTGCATATCGGTTATTATTTCAGCTGTGTTGATTTGTTGTATTACTTTTTGAAAACTTGCTTTGATTTGACCTAAATTGTGCTTTTTTTTTGTCAGGTGAGAAAGGCTTTGGGTACAAGGGCTCAACATTCCACCGCGTAATTAAGGATTTCATGATTCAAGGAGGCGACTTCGACAAAGGGAACGTGAGTGCTCTTCTCATGCTTATAGGCTCCTTTTTTTGGTCTATACTTTGTGCATTGCAATATTTGTTCACTTCACATTTAAGATTGATGTGTGTTGTAATGTGAATAATTTATTTGAAGTTGAACGATTTTCATCTGGGAGTTAGCTTGGCCGTAGCGTGGGAGATGTAACAGATATATATATATATATATATATATATATATGCATTTCTTCCATCATGCACTAGAAGATTCAAATGTTGGCACGGATGAGGTTGGAAAAGCTTTCAGGGTCAAATTGATTGGTTTACTAATTCTTGATGCTGGAATTTATTGCAGGGAACTGGAGGTAAAAGTATATACGGTCGCACGTTCAAAGACGAGAACTTCAAGTGTAAGTTACTCCTCACTTAGTCTGTGCTTTTGGTTAGAAGGGAAAAAAAATATGAAGGAAAGAAAGATGTATAAACCTAATTCAGGAAAATAGAGAGGAAAGGGAGAACTTGGTACGGTTTCCCTCTCCAATCCTTCCAACTTTAGAAGGATTAGAGTTCCAGTTGTAGTGAGGTTTTTGAATTTCTCAAGCCAATGCATTCCCTTATGTAATCTCTCCGACCAGACCAAATATCCTTCCACTTACCCCTCCAGGCAAACAAGGCCTTAGTTTCTCATAATTCTCTTGCAACAAGTTGGTAATGCGACTCACTAGATAAGTACCTATGCTGGATATTATCTTGCTAGAGTAAATCAGGAATATAGGAATGATTAAAATGTCCAGAATCCTTTCATCTACTATGTTGCTGATAAAATAAGTTATTTTGTGTTCTGTGAATAGGTGCTTTCAGATATACTTTTTTTTTTACATGTCGCTTTTTGTTTCTTAATTATTATTTTTCTTTATTTCATGTTGCAGTGGTTCATACTGGACCTGGAGCTCTTAGCATGGCAAATGCTGGCCCCAATACCAACGGAAGTCAGTTCTTTATATGCACAGTGAAGGTATAGTCAAAATCTAATACTCATTTTTTGTTGCAGTTGTAAGTTGGCTGGGAAAATGATAATGAAACAAATACTATACGTGTTTTCCTTATGGCTTTTTTGGCTCAAGACATGAGTGATGTTATTGTGTTGTGAACGGCAGACACCGTGGCTGGACCAAAGGCATGTTGTTTTTGGACAAGTTTTGGAAGGAATGGATGTAGTTCGGCTGATTGAGTCACAAGAGACGGACCGTGGAGATCGTCCTAGAAAGAAGGTGACTATCAGTGATTGCGGTGAGCTTCCGGTGGCCTGATCTAGAAACCTTGTCAGTTTTACTAAGTTATCTGCTCCTTTTTGGGGCTTCGGACTAGTCTACTCTATCCATTAGAGAGCATTTTGTTTTGGCGTCCTGCATTGACAAAACGCCAAATTTTTCTGTTTTGATCTGTATTCCTAAATGATGTTGTAGACAAAGAACAAGGAGTTTTCAGTTAAGTATATGCTGAGGATGTCTCGAGTGTCCCCCAAAAAATGAAAATAAAACAAAATAAAATAAGAAAGATGAATATGCTTCAAATGATGAATGATATCACATGCTGACATGCAGGGTAGTGCGGCTATAAATTGGCCCGGGAACCGGCTCAGCCCACTTAATATGAGGCCCACTATGGTATAGGGCTGGCCCGTTTACACCTCTAAGCGATCTTGAATTTTGTCTTAAAGGAAAAAAAAAAAAAAGGAAATCTTGCTGAAATTAAGCTCGTTTGGTTAGAAATTCATTCTCTGATTCGAATTATGATTTATGATTCATTACAGTATTTTATCTCATAAAAAATATACGTAAATCAAGAATAATTTTAATCTCATGATTTTAATTTATAAACTAAACGGTTCTAGTTTTAATTTATAAACTAAACGGTTCTAGTTGTAAATTAGGCTAGGAACTATTTTGAAGTATTTACATGTACTATTTTCATGTATAAATTAGGCTTTTTTTTTCTCTATAGAAGTTATTTATTTAAATTTTCTCAAAGTGACCACCATTACACCCTTTTTATCCAAGCAAAAGATATATCATGAACCGTTAACGCAAACAACACGACAAGCATTATTTTATCTTATCTTTTTAGTAAAGGACAGGATTTTTGTTTTAAATATTAGAAGGTAAAAGACTGATGGAGAGTAAATACATGTATCCGTACATTTCGGCTGGAAGCATTTATCCGTACGTCCTACTCGAAAAGATAAGGAGTAGTAACTATGAGGCACTTCTCCAAGGAAATTTTTATTAGGGGAGCGTACTTTCCACTCGTCTACTCAGCGCAGTGGAGTGTAAATATAAGAACGCTGGCTTATCAAATATATATATATACACACACACATATATGCCGTTTCAACAGATATTTTAATATTTTTCATTAATAAATATTATTATTTTAATAATAAAATATTGATCTAATTATTAAATAAATTAGATAAATAAATAAATAAATAAAAATTGTATTTAGGTTTTTCGTTCCAAAAGGTGTAGCTTGACCTTTTAAAGATGTAATTTTTTTTTAAAAAAAATGAAATTTATATGAGAACTTTGATAAAATTTTAAAAATCTAATTAAAACATATGTATTGTATGTTAGAAAATTTAAGGTCACGTTCAGTTCGTTGATTTGAATTTTAAATTCAATAAAAATATGATTTTATGTGACTTTTAAATTGTAGTAAAAAATTAGATTTGATTTTTTTTTTATAACTGTTAACTGTAATAAAATTAAAATTAAAAATTTAAATTGGTGAAATGAATGATGCCTGAATATTAGCGTATCTATAATTATGAACTAAAGAATCATGGACTTAGTTTAATCGTAAGCAAAACAAAAGACACCTTGTAGTGTAAATAACCATAATCTCACAGTTGTTTCTCGAGGACCGTACCTTAAAGAAAATCCCCTTGAGTCTGGACATGGATTCTGAAAGTATATTCCCTTTTCTTCACATCATTTTCGGCAGTCGAACAAGGGTCTCTTTCCCATCTTCCTTGTGACAATTATCTCTTATATGGTCCAAAGAATTATTAATCTGTCAATATCCAGGGTATTTGTAACGGACCCAAAAAAAAAGGCCTTAAATTTTAATAGAAAAAATATTGAATTTATTCTTGAGTGTATATTAATCTAAATTTTTATTTATTACTCTTAATAAATATTATTTTATTAATATAATTATTTAATTAAAAAATTATAAATATAAAATAAATAATAAAAATCTTGATTCATATATTTTTAAAAAATATTTATTAAGATTATTCAAATACAATTTGTATTTGTAAGTGGCTCTTGGGTCTTCGAAACGGAAACACAACAATCCAAGCGAAGATGGCACGTGGGACGAGGAGGATTCGATTGGATGCGATTCTGAGCACGTGAGCACTGTGGTGGACCAGTCACAGACACCCCAACTTGGCCTTTTTGGATTGGATTGGCAAAATCAAGTGTGTGTTCAAATTAGGACGTGAATGATAAGTCCAGTACATTTTATCAATTTAAATTTATAATTTAAGTTTTATTATAGTAAAATACTCTCATAAATAATTATATTTAATTTTTTTTATTATAATAAAAAAATCGTACCGTTTTACCGACTTGGCGGCTGTGACGGCGCCTTTTTACCGACTTGGCGGCTGTGACGGCGTCGTTTTAGGTAGTTGTCTTAAATGAAAATATGTCTGCGCGCCAAAGCCGTCACACGTGGGAACGCCGTAATAGACTTCAGAAGTAAAACTTTCACGCGCTCAGCGCTCGTCTAGACCACGCGTCACATCAATTATTCTCTCTTTTTACTAAAAAATTTCACGTGATTCGTTGAGTTGCTTAATCAGATTGGATAATAATTTGTCTTAAGCGGCCTTTTTAAAGAAAAATGATGGAAACTGTGGAAGACACATTGCAAGTTGTATGTTAATTCCCCAAATTGAGTTTGGTAGACTTCTATTTCTTCTAAAAATCACATTGATAAGTAAGTGCAGTACATTATTTCTGAACGCTATTTTCAAAAGAAAATTATAGAATTTACCTTCATAAGTGCACAAATTTATTACTCTTAATAAATATTATTTTATTAATATAATTATTTAATTAAAAAATTATAAATATAAAATAAATAATAAAAATCTTGATTCATATATTTTTAAAAAATATTTATTAAGATTATTCAAATACAATTTGTATTTGTAAGTGGCTCTTGGGTCTTCGAAACGGAAACACAACAATCCAAGCGAAGATGGCACGTGGGACGAGGAGGATTCGATTGGATGCGATTCTGAGCACGTGAGCACTGTGGTGGACCAGTCACAGACACCCCAACTTGGCCTTTTTGGATTGGATTGGCAAAATCAAGTGTGTGTTCAAATTAGGACGTGAATGATAAGTCCAGTACATTTTATCAATTTAAATTTATAATTTAAGTTTTATTATAGTAAAATACTCTCATAAATAATTATATTTAATTTTTTTTATTATAATAAAAAAATCTCACATAAAATTATATCTTAATTTAAATTAAAAATTTAAATCAATAAACTAAACGGTCTTAAGGATCTCTCTCGTATCATTTAGGTTTGATTTTCACTCTCTGCGGTGAAGCTGCAACTACGTCTCTTATCAAATTGCAAAATATGATTTGAGTTGATGTAACTTTAAACTCTTTAAATGCTAATTAATGAAAATATAGACCAAATTTTATTAGTGATCTCGATAATTTGTCAAGTGTTGCAGAATTAAAAATTAAGAGTGCGGGGATATTACCGATCACATTTTTTAAGAGTAAATTATTAAATTTACTCTTAAAAGTGTACAATGTAAATTTTATCACTTACTTTGAATTAATACTCTTTTAATAAATATAATTTTTAATTAAAAAAGTAGACTCATCCAATCTTAGGAGATATTTATCTCTTTTTTTTATTTTTTTTAATCAGGTAAAATAATTGTGGGGACCACTCCATTGGGTCCCAGCACGAGAAGAGACATCAAGTGGGCCCCACAGTGGCGGCTGAAAGAGAACCATGCGTTGGGGAAGAGAGTAAGTGACAGCGACTGAACATGTGGGGAATGGTGCCGCTTTGCTTTCTCTTCATTCAAGGCCCGAAGCCCAAAGTCTCCAAAGTCTACTCTCAATCTCAAGTCTCAACCCCGTTGAGATTCTGTCGGTCATATATTTTCTTTTTTTTTTGGTTGGGGGCTTTTCAATTCAATTGAAATGTCTCTTCTTCCCTTGCATGAATCTTTTTGGGTATTTAGCACTAGGTAACAATTCTCTTTTTGAAAAAAAAAAAATTGACAAAACAATCCTAACGTCTTTAAAATAATGTAATTAAGAGTCCGTTTTATTCATAAATTAGAACTATGTGATTTTAATTATTTTTAATTTACGTGTATTTTTTGTGAGATAAAATACTGTAACGAATCACGTATCATAATTCGAATCAGAAAACGAATCTCTCTACCAAACATCACCTAAGTCTTTCTGTTAAAGTCTATTAATGTTTTACGAAATGTCTCGTGTACAAAGCATGTGATTTAATATAAAAAGAGTATTTTAGTAAAATAAGAATAATTTATGATGTAACAAAAACTAAGATTAAAAGTGCGTTTGGTTGGTGAATTTGTATTATGGTTCGGATCATAGTTCATGGTTCGTTACAGTATTTTTCTCACAAAAAACACACGTAAATTGAGAATAATTCTGAATTATAATTCTAAATCTATCAACCAAACGTCATCTAAAAAACTCTCTAAATAGGAAAAAAAAAAAAAAAGATCTGCACACACATCATCATTACACTCTTGGAGGCTGACTTTAGGTTTCCAGTCAAATTAATAAAAAAATAATTAAGGACATATTTGTTTCTGATATCCGTACTTGATTTTGAATCATTATTTATAATTCTCTATAATATTTTTTTCTTATAAAAAATACACGTAAAACGAGAATAATTCTGAATCATAATTCTGAATTTATGAACCAAACGTCCATTAAATAAAATAAAAAGGTGAAAAAAACTCTAAACCCAGATAATAAATGCAAACCTAGATCAATCAAACAATAAACTCATATATATTAGTGGCTATCGCCTTTTCTCTATGAGAGAAGAAAATATATATATTTGCTGCTCTTCAAACCCAGATAAAAAAACTCCGAACAAACAGATCAAACGAAGAACATTTTTATCTCTCTGAGAGCAATATATATATATATATATATTTGCATGCAAGCTCGAAACTAGAGGAGGGGATTGCTTCAACTTGACCACATATTTGCTCCTCTTATTCTCACTAAGTGGCCATTCTTCCTTCTCATATTGAGAATGAAATTCTAATCTCATTTGTTTTGGCATGTTGATTTTGACCTAAACAGGACAAGATGATAGTCGTTCCCATTGCGAGATATCTCTCCTACCCATGTCGCCTGATCGAGCCCCTCTCCACTGCCACAAAGCAGAGTAACAAATAGATAAATAAAGCAGAGTAATTCATGCGTTTAATCCATTTGAGGACAATTTCATCTTTTCAGCGTAAAAGCATGTCACGTGGCTTTTTCCGTAATAAATTTGACAATCTCGACAGAAAGGGCTTAATTGCACAATTTTAAGGACATTGGTGTCAATCTTTTTTAATGACAAAATCATTGCCCTCATCAATGTCATATCGTTACGTTTTAACCCCCTCCCATCAATTTACACCATCTTCTTCCGAATTTACTTTTTCTGCTCCTTTTTTTCTTTTCTCTTTCTTTTCGGCTACCATCCTTAATAATTGCGTTAATCATATGCGTGGAAACCAACAAGAATTAAAAAGTCCTACGATAAGATTCCAATTTTTTTTATTTTTTATTTTTATTTTTTTAGAGTTCTCTACATACAGTAAGTTCTTGCCGTTTTTTTTTTTTTTTTTAATAAGTTACTTCTAGTTATAGTTTTATTATAGGTAAACCTACCATATTAAAAATAAAATATACTTATTTCAATTTGAAGGAACTAATTCAAACTAATCAAGATATATGCCTTAATGTGCATTGGTTAAACGGCGCGTGTGGACAGTGTTTTTTTTTTTCGCTCTTCTAATGACCAACCTTTTTTTCTCTTATAAAAGTGTGAATAGATGTTTGTATTGACTTTTCAATATATATATATATATATATATATTATTTCTTAGAAAAAAAAGAAGCGTATCATCTACATGCTTTATCATGCATTTTTCTAGGATTTTTGGCCTAAGGTACTTAAAAAAAAAAATACTTCCTCCATATTATGTAGTTCTAAACTATAAGATTAAATCCAGATAAAAAAACTATAAGATTAAATTGTATCCGTGTTTGAACAAAAAAAACGTATCCATATGAAATGAAATATAATAAGGATCTAATGATTTAGAATTGCGCAATATCAATAGAATATCTTTTTACACCCTACGAAAAATAAACTCCTCTTTTTTTTTTCTTTTTTTGCTAAAACAAAATGTTCATCATAACGTATGCGAATGTAACGTACGTGCAACAATTTGTCGCCATCTTTAATTTCTTTTTGAGGCAAATAAATGAAAGTAGTTATGCGTAGTGACAATTCTTGGTGTGTGCACATTAGTCACGCCACACATGCAGGTGTTGCCACTTTTATACAAAGGTGGGGTTGGGGGTGAAAATGTTATACATTTTGTATAATAGTGACCTTACCTACTCAGAGCACTAGGTGACCTTACCTGCTGGATTTTCTTTCCTTTTATCATTATTATTATTATTATTATTATTATTATTATTATTTTATAATTAGAAATGGGGTCTTTATACGGTGTGGTCTCTTATTCTTAATTATTGGATATGGTTGAATACTCAAAATCACATTAAAATAAAAAAGTATGTAAAATATATAATTTTTTATATAAATTTAGACTCCGTTCATTTTATCGATTCGAGTTTAGAATTTAACTTTTATTATAATAAAAAGCTCTCAAAAATAATCACATCTAACTTTTTATTACAGTAAAAAATTCTTATATAAAATTATATCTCAATTTAAATTAAAAATTAAAATCAATAAACTAAACAGCCTTTAATATATAAACATTAATGGTTTATTTTTTCAGTTTAAAAATCTCCTTACTAATCCACTTCCCAACAAAACACAAACTTGCATTGTCACCAAGCACTCCTTTTTTTTTTTAAATCAAAATCTTAAAAAAAGAAAGTCAATCTCGGCGGCTTTGGAGCCCACAATCTTTGTTTGTCTCTTTTTTAGGACTAATGGTGAGGGAGTACGGGAATGGGAATATGAGAGCTTAAGAATTATTAATATTTGAAAAAAACAGACATCTCATCACTTGGATAACATATACGACATCTTAACTTCTTTTTGCCGAAAAATGGAAAGTGTTACATGTGGGAAAAAGGTGACGTGTTTGGACAATTTCGTTATTTATGAGATTATTTGAACTCACTATAGTCCATACTATTCCACAAAAGTCATTTGTAAATATAGCGAGGGGCTCTTGCTCGAGAAGAAAAAATATAGTTTTTTTTTTTTTTTTTTGCATAAAACCCCTTTAACTTTTTGTGATTGACAAATTAATTCTTAATTTTTTTTTTTTTTGGCAATCGACTCCTTAACGTTTAAAATCGGTTGTAATTCTAATCCAAATGATAACGGCCATTGTCACATGTGCGCGAGCAGCACATGCATAGTAAAAAAGGGCTCAATGGTCCTTTTATTCCATTCCAACTCAAATTTAATTATTAATTTCAAAACCAATACAAATTGAACTCAAAAATATATATTTTGATTAGAAAAACTGATATCTTAAGTTAAATCAACTTTAAAAATTAACCTTAAAACGTAATTAAAGATTAAAAGGGGAAAAAAATGAAGAAGAACTTCATCTTCTTCCTCCCATAAACAAGACATTAAAATCACTCAATTCAAACAACACTCAAATATGAAATGATGATAAAAATAAATTCAACATTCAAGAACTTCATCTTCTTCCTCGCTGCCCAACCCAGCGACCCAAACCCAGAAACCTTGTTCGTTTACTCCCTTAACTCAAACAAAAACCAAAGCCCTTCGGATCTGGTGTTTTCAGATCTCTCTCTCTCTCTCTCTCTCTCGGGAACCAAACAGGCGGAGATCCTGGGTTTTGTGGCTCGAGGTGCTCTGAGGCGAATGGAGATGGGGGTTGACGGAAGATGAGCGGCGGATGGTGGCCGATCAGTCCGCGACGGAGATGGGACGCGAGGACAGCCGCGAGTACTGACGGCAGGCGGGGGGCGGCGAATCAGGCGGCGCGGTTAGGGGGTTTTGAAGCTCGGCTCATGGGCTTCCTGGATCTGGTCTCAGACCGTGGGTCGGCCGGAGCTGGCTGGAACCGATGTCGGCTCGTCAACTCACTTCCGTTTGCGATTTTCTCTATTTTTTTTTTCTTTTCTGGTTTGGACGCTGAAACAGGGCAATATTTTGTTGTCGTTGTTGTTGTTTTTTTTTTTTTTTTTTTTCAATTTTTCTGTCTATTTACCGGTAAAATATGACAACTAACACCCCTCAAACAGACGCCACGTGCCAGTCACGTGGCAAAAACGTTAAACATTTAACAGATGCTATCAATTGGATCAGAATTGTAACTTTTCAAACGTTAAGGTGTCGATTGTAAAAAAATATATATATATATTAAAGGATCAATATGTTAATCGCGAAAAGTTCAGGGGAAAAAGCCAAAAATATATATTTTAAGGCATGTAATTCTTAGTTCTAAATTGTTAAATCAAACAAAAAAAAATCACATTGAAACAAGAAAAGCATATAAACTTAATGAACTTAATCAAGATCTGACGAATCAGAACATGTATCGTCGTTAAACTATTTTGTCGTACACTCTGCCGCTACAGAATCTTCAAAAGAAGAAAACTTTTTCGGGTTTCCTGTCATTTTCATGAATCAGATTTTGTTTTGTTTTTGGACACGAATCATATTATGTACTATTTTTTCTTGTTTAAGATTGATAACGATATTCATAATCTTCCCAAGTTAGTTCAATGATTATGAGGCTAATCAAAGAACAGGTTTACATGTGTATTTACAGTGCCTTTTAAGATATAAACCTGAAGACGGAAATATATATTTATATACATGATGAAACTGTACAAGTTGAAAACCAATTTCAAAGTTTGAAGCTTGACCAAAATATCAACAAAGTGACTGACCTAAATCTTTCCATTACTGTTTAGACAACATTTTACAGCTAAAGACAGAGTGGCCTAATATTTACAGGCATTGTTGGGCAGCATCTTGTTTGGCCTAATGAACAAACAAACAAACTACTCAAGAGTATGACTTGATCAAACCCAAGTTGTAAAGAAATTTCTCCGACCTCGACCGAAAGAGATTACCCAAGGAGAATCTCCCACCCTCCTGGGGTGGCGATTTCGAGCTCAAGTCTTCCTCCTTTACGCGAAGAATTGTCAAGCCAATCTCTTTCCTAACTGCCTCAATTGTCTCACTTCTCACTGGATTTCCCGACGCATCTGTCACGTAGAACACGTTCACGGCTTGGGATCCCCTGGTTGTGACCTCTGCTCGAGAGACTGAAAGGCCATTCTCTCTGAATATTCGAGTCACGTCGGAGAGTAGGCCAACTCTGTCATCGCTACAAAGTTCTAATCTTATACCCTGAATCCAAAATAAGATAATGTCATAATCTGCAGATTTTAGCAAAAATGTAAGCCAGACGTTTCATCAAACTTCTAGGAGTTTTTACCTCGGAATTCCGCCTTCTAATAGCAGCTTCCAAGCAATTGATTACTCTTTGCCTTTCTGCTTCAGAACTAATAGGGCAGCCATCTGTATGCCTGATATAGTATTCCTATCAACACATAAAACTCAAAACAAGTTAGCAGCATGGAAATTTATATGGCCATTTTCAACTTGAAAAGGAAAATAATCACAACTAGAAAAGCAGACATTGCAGTCTAACCTGACAAGCCTCAGGTCCTTCAGCAATTACGGTTGCGTGGTAGACCACATATTGCATATCCGTTAATGTGCATACGGTATCGAAGAGCAGCTTAGGGCGGTCCGGACACCTCAAGTTCACAACAGTATATCCCTTATCTGCGCAATTCTCCACAGTTGCAAGAGGCTTTCTCGGCTCGCTGGTTGTCCCACCATCTGAATCCTCCACATCATAATCGCGATCAGCGTACATCATCTGATGCAGCCTCCTGTCCTTGTGAGTGGAATCCACAGACACAGCGGTATTGGCACTGCGCTTATCTCTGTCCCCCTTTAGAACATAGAGAAGAAGCTGCTTGATCTTGGTAAGATGATCAGCATCATCAATTGGCAATCCAGTTGCCTCATCAGTGATATAAACAACTGACGCCATCCTTGAATTGTGCGTCCAGACTTCCGCTGCAACCACATTGCATTTGAGGTCTGTGAGAACAGCAAAAACCTCCGAAAGCAACCCCGGCCTATCTGTTCCTGTCAATTCTATGGTAGTGTTTTCTGTGGCGGCTTGGACACCTACAGATCTTCTTAGGGACCGAAAACTATGCGCCCTTGGTCCCAGAGACTGCAAACACACAATTACACCAAAAAAAAAAAAAAAAAGAATTAGATTTTCCATGTCTTTCACCACAAAATTTAACTTAACACACATCTAGTAATGCCATTGTTATCCATTATTATCCTTCAAAATAGCAATTTGAGAGATACAAATATTATGTTCCAGGATTTGGTTTGAAATGTATAGTATAAACTTCTGTAATTTGATGAAACCGAGAAATATGACAGGAAATGAGCAACTTGTTCATCCCCACATTACAGAAGAATCAAATTAATTATAAAATTTTTAGGAATTATGTTTCTGAATTTCACTCTTTACATTGGAAAAAAAAAAAAAAAAGGGCAAGAGAATTCCTTTCTGCATGAAATTATAATTAAAACACAGCAAAGGCAAAGAGTAGAACAGTTTGGGCCATGGCTGACCTGTTGAATGCGTTCAGCCACATCATCTTCAGACAGTTTTTTCCCATGTTGATCAGTGACATGAAACACTGCAAGAAAAATGGTGTGAAAACAAGAAAAAAATCAGATATTGACCTTAAAATTGAGATCTTGAAAGTGGATATATAAATTCAAAGTGGACACTAACCATCCATGAACCATTCTCCATCAGAAGAAATGTAGGCTCGTCTTATTATCAGGTTTAAATCAGTCAGAACCTGAACCACCTCTAACAAACTCCCCCGCCTATTTGCACTATCAACCTGCAAAAATTTTTTTCCCCCAAGCAATACACAAAATTAATGTTACAGAACAAACCTGAAACAAGAAAAAAGAAAAAAAAATATCCAAGAATTCAATCATGTACCTTAATCAGAGTGGCTTTCCTGCTTGAGGCATTATCAACTGTGACCCTGCAAATCCCATTTCAAAAAAAAAACCAAAACTCACAAACCCTTTTCACCAAAAGACTCAAACTTCACCAATTTAAGTTCAAGAAACACACGAAAACAAAAAAAAAAAAAAATTCAAGACTGTGAATAACAAAAACAAAGAAAGATTGGAAATTGAGAAAGAGTGAAACTACCTAGGAGGGTTAATTCTCATCATGAGCTTCTCAAACTCGTCTCCATTAGGGAGAGAAGAAGACCAACAATCCATTTTGGAACAAAAGAAAGAGAGAAAAAAAAAAGTAGAAGAAAAGATTCAGAGAAGAAAACGAGGTGTGTCTGGTGTGGCCTTTTTTTTTTTTTTTGTGCTCAAAATTCAATCTTTTGTTTGTTTGATGCTGTTGTTGTTGTTGTTGTTGAATTGTGTCAGTTTGTCGCAGGTTTGTTTATGGGCTTGGCAATGAAGAAGAGGAGGAGGACGAAGACTGTTTGGTTTTGTGGCTGTGCGTTTGTGTCTGTGTTTGTGTTTTGTGTTGGTTGGGTTGGTGGTGTGGTGGCTCTGAGCTGGACAAAGAGTTTTAGAGGAACATCTATCACCAAAACATACATACACCCAAAAATTAAATTTTTTTTAAAATATTTATATAAAAAAAGAGCAAGAGACAGTGAGAGGGCATGGGACTACTATTATCAATTTATCCTGACTTGCCTCTGCTTATCATGGGTCCCACCTCCACCTCCACACATCCTATTTACTTGCACTTGGTTTTCTTACTTTTCTAGGGGTTTCTTTTTAGAAAAAAAATGGTATGATGTTAAAAAAAACGAAAAAATTAGTCACACGTGTGATTTTTTTTTTTTTTTGTATAAGATTAGATATTTATTAAATTCCATTGAACTAATATATTTTTTAGTTATGTTGTAATTCTGATATGATTTTACGTTTGAAGAAACGCATGCTTGTAAAAAAGGTTTTTTTCTTATTTATTTATTTTTTCTTTTTAATATCTCTCTTAATTTAATCTGAATTTAGCCTATGAATTGTGGTGGAGAGAAGCGAGAGAAAATAAAATAGAATGGGAAATTTGGAAAAATAAAGAGAATAGTTAATTGCATCGTTCCATTTTTAATTATTCGTTCTTTACATAATGTTTTTTGAATTTTTAATTTTAGTAAACTACACCTTAAACTTTAATGTCAATTATAATTGAGGTTCAACAGTTAACTAATGTTATTAAATTGAAGGTTTGAGACATAAGTTTTGTATGTGTAAGAAAAATATCATCATTTTTCAAACTATATCATGCGCACATTTCGTGTCTTAAACTGTGAATTTGATAACGTCGTTAGCTGTTAGACTTTAATTATAATTGATTTTAAAGTTCAAGATGCAATATACCAAATTGAAAATTCAAGATGCATTATGTAAAAAACCGAATAGTTTGAAATGTAACGGTACAATTTACTTTAAAAAGAATGTTATATGCTTGGTAAAGAGGAAATTGAGAAGTAAAAAGGTTAAAAATCTATGAGGCTTATTCTATATTAATCCTTTCAACTCTAAAAAGAAAATGTTTGACAAAATCTAATAGTATACAAATAACTACGTTGACCGTAATGACATCTCATCCTCTTATTTTGTTTAAAGATATACTTATAAAATAAATCATCTTAAACATTTTATTCTCTCTTTCTGTTATTTTCTGCCGAACAATGTAAAAGTGAAGCTCTCTCTCTGTTTTTTTTTTTTTTTGAGTTTTTCGATAGACTGTCATTCTGATATATAAGATTAGTTTTCTGACCGTTAGATCTGATCAAAATTAAATCAAATTAAAAAAATGCACAGAACATACAATTTTTATTACAGATCTAATGACTAAAAATAATAAAATTATCAGTAATTTTATTTTTCTGATTCTACTAAAAAAACTCCTTTATTTTCCTCACCAAATAATATCGTGTAAATTAGAGATCCTAAAATATTGAATTCAACGGTCACCTTAAGTAAGGTCTTGCTAGGCAGCACATGGGCAGCCTACCCTATTAGAAGCCCTTAAGTAAAGGCAACCCTCTTGCCTTTCTTTCTTCAACAAACAGAGAAATACGGAAAGATTTTCTTGTCTTTAGGAAATCCTTCTAGTTTTATGACCTCTAGATACCTGAATTGGTGTTTAGTATGAGAATTCGTATCATAATTCGTAGTTTGTTATAGTATTTTTTTTCACAAAAAATACACGTAAATCAAGAATAAATTTGAATCATGATTCTAAATCTATGAACTAAACGTTAAGTTTTAAGGGTAATAAGTCCTACAAAAACCTCCAAGGTAAACAAGTTTTATAACAATTAACAACAAAAAATAAAATAAAATAAATTGATCTACTTTTATATTTTTAAATTCACAATTAAAAAAATGAACAATGAACAAGTTTTTTGAAATTCACAATCTACTTGTTTTATCTTCAAAAAATAAAAAAAATAAATAAAAAAAGTAGATAAACAAAAAAAAAAACGAAATTAATATCTTCCAAATGCAGTAGGGTTTACTGGCTTCTGCTAAGCTGGAGGAATCCCTTTGTCTCACTATTTTACTACTAGGCATCTGCCAATCTCTGAATTTGATTTGATTTAAAATCACTACCAACTTCATGTACTTAATATATTCCCCTCCTTGTCACATGCCACTGTTCTTCTCTTCACAGAAAAAAAGGGAACAGAAAAAGTCTACAAATCGATCTTTTAAAGAGTAGACTTTGATATTATATATTGATCATGTTCTTGAAAATGTAGCCCCATATTTCTTGCAATGCTTTGTTATATGTCTCTTTTTATGGTCTAACCTTTTTATATTAGCTGAGTGTGAATATATCCGTCACAGCCCTCTTTGTTGGAGTAGGGAATATAATATTGTTGGTATAAAGGAGAAAAAGATATACTCTTTAATGTTTTTTATAATTTAAAAAGGTGAAAGCATGGGAGTGGAGGTCAAAAACCGAACCACACTATCACTAGCCAATTGGTTGGTGAATTTTGCATGCTTTTTATATCTTATAAGTATTAAATAGAGGAGGGTCCGACGGTGCCGTCGGATATCCGTGGTGTCTGACACTATAACTCATATATTAAGTATCGCCTTAAAATAGTCAGACAATTTGAGATCTCGCCCAAGTGAAAGATGAAATTGGTGTTGGTCAGAGAAATAAAAGGAGAAGAGAAAAATGGAAGAATGAAGAGCTGCTGTCCAACATTTACTCACCTACATTCATTGTTTTCACTTGCCATAACTACTTGTCCTCCTAACCACATGATAGCCACATGGGGGACTCACTGACAGAGAAAAGAAGAAAGAAAAAAAAAAGGCGGGCTTTGTTTAATTTGTCTAAAGGCTATTTGGAAACACCATTAAAAGCATTAACATATGAGCTCCCACCAAGCATCATTTGAACAGATTGTGCACAAAGAAGTACGGAATATTGAGTACTACAAGTTCTTTTTTTTTTAATTATTTTTTTGAATAGCTTCATATACTATTCCATATTTATAAAGGAATATTGTTAACGTTATAATGAAAGAGCCCCATCAATGTTAAGCATTTTTTAGTTCGGAACATTTTTTTTATTAGTGTGCGTTGCTCAACACCTTCGGTGTCTTGTAATATTGTTAAAAGTCAATAGTAGTGTTTGTTGTGATTGAGCTTACCTGTATGAGAGAAAAGCAAACAATAGCGTAAAGCGCAAATGTGCAAGTTTCAATGTATGGATGGACTTAATGGTTACATGTTAAACCCTTTTTTCTTCACTTTCCTTATTTATTTGTATGAGCTTTTATTATCTTTGTTGAAAAAAAAAAGCAGGCAAAAGAGTACAGCACAAGGACGTACAGAAAGGGATTAATGTTAGGCCCGCCTGTCAAGGCAGGGCAACAACATTTGCATGTGATTGGACTTCTTTTTCGACATATGATTCAAGTGCATGGGACTGCCAATTTCACAATGCAAAATTATCTCCATTGGCAATTAATTTCACAGCTAGCTCTGCACAATAAATGTGCATGAGAATATAACACACACACAATATACATACATATATATATATATATATATATATATATATATATCATGTGCAATTCCATCTTTCAGCTGTGTGTCAGAAGTAAAAAAATAACATTTACTATATATTCCTCACTCTCTTGACTTGTATGTTTACTTTGGCTCCACCAATAGCCTTTTCTTCTTTCTCTCTCTGTTTTATTTTTCTTTTAATTTATTAAAGCTCTTGAAATATGTAATTATTTGTTATTGTTTGTGATGCAATTGCCGCACATGTTTTGGTACATATAAAGTTAAATTAGTGTACCTTTTGTTATGTTGACATTTCTATTCTATCGTCTTAGATATGATATGATGTAACCAATGATGGTGAATTATACGGTTCATTTCGTTTTGCTTATAAGAATGAGTGAATTAGAATCAATACCATTTTTGGAGAATTGATATTCTTAATATACCACTTAATTTGAGCCTTTCAGACATGAAAGTGTAAGAAGTGAATAAATAGTCTTCAAAAATGGTACCCAGCCTTGCTAACATTACATATAAAAATCATATCATAACAGAAAAAAAAAATACAAATTCAACAAAATTTGATTAAAAAAATGACAATTTAGATTCAACTATGCAACATGGATAAGTTTTTTTTCCTTATTTTTTTTTTTAAGTTTTACCACAGTATTTTCCATGTTCTCACTCGCTTGATCTCCACCTTTAGTTTGAGTCTTACTGATGCATAACAAGCCAACATAAGAAGGGACACGTAATGGAGCAAAAAGTATACTTGTTTTTTATGGACTGGATCCATATTGGATGTGGTCCAAGAACCCAGTTGGGTCATGGGTGGACCACCAGTTGATCTTATAGGGACTTAGGCCCACTTGCACTACTTGGTCTTCTTTGGTCTTTGGTTCTTGTTCCGTAGAGTTAATGTCAAACCTGCAGCCTGGATAACTTATTATTGGCCTATGCATTGTCTTTATTGACCATGAAACGCACTTTTATGTTTTGTACACATTATACATGTGGCTATAATGCAACAAGTGAAATTTTTTTTTTTGAGTGCTACTATTTTTATGTACAAAATCAAGTTAGGCTATTTTAAGGCTTGGATGTGATAGTTCACAAATTTAGGATGAACCAAGAAACATTGTGTCATATTAGATCCGTACACAAACAAAAATAATTATATATTTGAGTGCATTATCTTTTTTGGGAGAATACTTGTTGTATGTCATTCGGTATCATTTCTCCTTACTTATAAGAGGGCAATTCTTTGGTACAGACGAGAGTATAATTATTAATACATGTACAAGGTTCTTATGATAGGGAAAATTTGCGAGTAATTTGAGTTTTTTTAAGACTGGAAAATCATGGTTTTCGTGAGTTTGAAAAATTTACAAGTATCCTACAAAAAAACAAAAAAAAACAAAAAACATGTTACTCAATGTGAACTTGTATTCAAAATGGTGGGATCGGGGTTGTGAGGTTCCAAATTCCACTTGTCTTTGTGTCGGCGGTGTTGTGGGCTAGCTTTTTGATGTGTTTCTATTTCTAATAGCTTTCAAATTCTCAGACATTTAAATAACATCTTGTTGGATGAGATTTGGATTAGTCCAAAATGAGGTAAAGTGAATCTTGAGAATGGGTCGGGGTGATGAGGTTTTGATTGTCTCTTTGGTGGTGATGGTGTTGTGGGCTGACTTATTGATGTGTTTCTGATAGCTTTGAAATTCTCAGGCAATTTAATAAACTTCATTAGGTGGGTTCAAATTAGTACAAAACGAGATAAATTGAATCTCATTCCTTATCTTTAAGATTAGAAAAAAGGAGACAAATATCCATTTTGAGTGTGTGAGTTTAAATTTTTAACTCTTACTCTTAATTAATATCTTTTTAATCACATAATAATATTAATTAAAAGGTATTAATCAAGATTAATAGATAAAAATCAAAACTGCACTTTTAGGGAGTTTAATATTTTTCTCTAAATGGCATAACGAGGGAGGGTATCATTATTACAGCATACCAAACATCTCCAAAATGGAATCTGAAGAAAATCAAGTAGTTTTTAGGATTGTAGGGGTATTTTTCATAATCTACCCATGAATTGCACTACAAGACCACGCAGCAATAAAAGGGTGATACCAACGATCATAAGCTATCTACTAAAAACTTTTTTTTAAGGTCCAAGTAACATATCAAATGAGAACTCGTTTTCAGTTCATAAAATTCAATTCTTATGACTTGAAAAACGGCAGTTCACTAGTGTATTAGCAGTATGAATTTCTGCAAAAAGCTTCTCTCAGCTAAACGAGTTTGGCCCACACTCTCATTCAGTTGTGTGTGTTGTCTTGAATCAAACAGGAAAGGTCCTGGTACTTGAGATTCTGAAATCTGAATAAAGCTTTTTCTATAGAGGAAAAATGGTAAACCAGTTTGGTCTGTTGGGCTTGGTTTGAGTGGTTATGTTGTAAGAACATCGTACAAGATGGACCAAAGTTTGTGGGGATTCAAAAGAGCTCTTCAAAACTCCAAATCTGAATTGGCGTTTTGGATATTAAGAAGGGAAAGATTTAGTAGGTTCTGAAAAAACAAAGATGGTTTATGTTTTTTAAGGTAGAAGTATCTGCATAATTTTGAGTGTTTAAAATAGATCAAAAAGCAAAATGGAATTTTAAGACTATTCTTCTGCTGCAAATATAGTAGGGTAATTGACCAATAATTGGTTTTGTTTAAGAGTCATGATAGTTTCTCAACAATCTTAGGGCCCATATAGTTCGCTAATTCGAGTTTTTAATTTAAGTTGAGTTGTGACTTTATGTGAGAGGTTTTTACTGTAGTAAAAAAGTTAGATGTAACTGTTTCTGATAAGTTTTTACTATAATAAAACTCGAATCGGTGAAATGAACGAGGCCTTATGCTTTTGAGAGAATTTAAATCAGCAAGCAATATCTCGCCTTTCAGGGGGCTTGGCCATGAATTCAGTGGCTGAAATCCGTCGAAAACCACGGATTGATTATCTATGTAATGAGCATTATTTGCTGTCTTCTGAAAGTAGTGAAATAACTAAGCAAGTTAAGGAGAGCAAGATATAGGTAGACACAAGATGGATAAGTATAACGGCAAAAATGGCCACATTGCTAAGGATATTAAATAGGAGTACAAATAAAGAATCAGATGGCTTAACCAGATTCCTTCATCTTTTAGGATTGTTCCTTCTAATCCTAATATCTAATAAGCTTCAGCTCAAAAATAAGAAATATGATCTCTTACGCCTCATTAATTTCACCGATTCGAGTTTTTAGTTATAGATTTCTACCGTTAAAAGCTCTCAAAAAATGTCACATCTAACTTTTTTTGCTACAGTAAAAAGCTCTCAGAAAATATCACATCTCAGCTCGAATCGAAAACTCGAATCTGCGAAGTGAACGGGACCTTAATGTTCCAACTGTAAAGCATTCTCAAGTTTGTCATGAGAGAATTTTGACACTCAGAAACTCAGATAGAAGCAACCAAAATGGGTTGACAAGAAAATTATTCAAGAAACTTGACAATCATCAGATATCAAAGAGAAATATATTCACACATTTCTAGTTAGAAGAGAAGAACTGCTCCTTGTTTTGATAGGATAATATATTTCTCTAGTACAAAGTATCTGATTATAATACACCCTAGTTGATATTTTAAACTAAATAAGGTCCACTAAGATGAGCAAAAAGAGAGGCAAATTGGCTATCACAGCAATTAAAGTCATTTAGCTACAATTACACTCCTCAAAAAACGAATAAGAAACAAAAAATCCAATCCAAACTCTCAACTACTTTCTCTACTAAACTCAACACTTGAAAAAAAAAAAAAAAAAAAAAAAAAAAACTTTGACATAAACTACAACACTCGTCTGTTTGTGTTGGAGAGAAAACACGAGTAAAAGAACCTAAAGGAGATGAACTTAATCAACCCTGCAAGTCCCAATTCTAATCTATACAAGAACTAGAAACCATGATATGATCTTCTTTTCCTCATCATCTACTTTGAGAATCGTCTTTCTCGGGAGACCGATGCCTCGGAACCAAGGAGTCTCCACCACCATCACCACCACTAGATCTTTGCCCCATCTGCTGCTGTTGCTGCTGAAGCTGAGCCAAAGTCTGCGAATTTAAAACCCGAATATGGCCGTCTTGCGAAAGGCCAAGCTCCAACCCCGGAACTTGTTGGTTTCCTCCACCTATGACTGTGTTGAAACTCACTGCACCCAAGTTCACACCAGGAGGGAAGTCAAAGCCGTGGAATCCAAACTTAGGCAACAACATGTTGGCGTTTTCACCTCCGAAACTCGTCGTTGACTGACCGGAATTCGGAAAAAACCCCGACCCAAATCCACCAATTCCAGGCCAAATCCCATGAGATCTACCCAAATTCCCACTCATGACTGCCCAATTAGCCCTCCCTAAATCTTCCATCCTTGTATGCAAAGCAGAGGAAACAGAGTTCCCCTGTTCAGAAACAGAGGACCCTGCAGCCGCCAGAGCGGAGGCCGGGATTGTCCCGGTTCCGGTGGCCGCAATAATCGACGGCTCGGCTTGCTGTAACAACCACTGGATTGTTTCTCCATCGGATTTGTGACCCAATTCTCTGGTCAACTGAAAGACCCTGGCAGCACAAAGAGCTGGCATCCTTATCCTCCTTCCTCTGCCATCAACTTTCTTGTGCCTATCCTTGTTGGAGCTCCTCTTGGGGGCTAATTGCTGCTTCTTCGTATTATTATTGGCATCTTCTTTGTTGGCAATGATAATTTGGAAGTCCTTGATTTCAGCCGGCTTGCTCTCTGCCATGTCTGCTTTTGGTGGGCACCTCTTTGGTGAATTGGGGGATTTTTTTTTTTTTTTTTGGTTTTTTTTTTAGCCCTTTGGTTCCATGAGAAACAGGGGTGATATGTGAATGTGATATGGGAATGGGACCAGTTTGATTAAAATTTGATTGAAGACTTGACCTTTTAGTAAGGCCCATAGACTTTCACGACCCTCCTCCCTTTAGATATGCTATATTGTGAATGGGATTATCTCTAGCTCCAATTATTGGAACCATTAAGTTTCAAATTTTGAAGTTACTACTTACTATTCATTTAATTGCTCTCTAGTCTGTCCTTTTACTTTTCAATATTATTACGTTTGAATGTGACATTCAACTTCCTACTTATATTATCCAAATTAAAAAAATGAGAAATAAACCTTTATATATAAGTGGCGTTTCTTCTTCCAATTTTCCTTTTCTTTTTGACATGACCTCTACTAGAGACAAATGACAAGACAATATTGTAATGAGCAGAAAAAAGAAAGGACAATATCGTGAAGATAAATAGTATAGTACTAAACATCCATATGGGTAATAGTAACTTATCTTTTGGTTATATTTTGGACTCTTGTGAATTAAAGTTATGGTCACAAGGTAAAAAATTACGGTCAGTTTAAATTTTTAATTTAAATTGAAATGTGATATTTTTAAAAATTTAACTGTAATAAAAAAAATTTAATATGATATTTTTTTAAAAAATTTAACTGTAAAAATTTAAAATTTAAAATTTAAATTGATAAAATAAATGAGATCCAAAATGTGATAGTATTTTTTTTTTTTTGCTAGTCAAAAAGTGATAGTAGTTACATATATAGTATTGGTCTAAATAAATGAAGGGGGTTACAACTGTATACCAGAATCTGAAAAATAAATGGGTCCAGTGGACATAAGATATGATGTGATGGGATGAAATGGCCTAAAGGGTAAGAACATGTTTAGTTCACTGATTTAAATTTTTAATTTAAATTGAGATGTGATTTTATCTTAAAATTTTTTATTATAATAAAAAAATTAAATATAATTATTTTTAAAATTTTTTTACTATAATAAAATTTGAATTGATGTAAGTTAGGTTCACGAAGAAACGACATTCTTGCTGTTGGACTTTATGGGTTAAGGGGCTGTGCTCGTCTTCTTTTGTTATCTGACAGCCAATCATGAAACATGGTTGCGCAGATAGTCCCATATTTGAGATAATAAGCAAACATGATTGGATCTCACAGCTTTCCATAGCACAAAAGAAAGAGGTTTTTTTTTATTTTTTTATTTTTTTTATTTTTTAAATGAGATCTTACAACACATCTATAAGAAGATAGAAATTACTAATCCTCCGTCTAATTTTGTTACAGTATTTTTTTTATCTCATAAAAAATTTAAATTTAAAATTTATATTTATAGAATTTCTACTAATGAACCAGAATTATTGATTTTTTAGGTAGTTTCATCTTCAACTATTTTTATAAAGAAAGTGGATGGATGATTGACAATTTCACATCCCTCTTGAAACCTGGCCGTGGCCTTTCTATTTAAGCAGATAAAGACTTAGCTCACAATATTGTGTGAAACCAATAAATGGTTATGGAAAATTTTGGTCAGTGATTGTGGAAAAAATGTATATATACTCACATATATATAAAGCCCCTTGAAAGTTGAGCATAAGCTTTCATTTCATATTATTGAAAGTGGCTGGGGATGACTTTTCTTTCTTGCTAATCTTAGCTTTGCTTTTTTGAGGAGAGAAAAAATTGAGGGAAGAAAATTTTATTGGCGCTTGAATCCTTGATAATGTAATGGGCAAAGTGTGATTTACGCGTCTGGTTCTTGTGCTGCCCACCAAGGAGACAAAATATGCCTTTTAAAAAGCTTGATTTTGACATGCCACCCAATAATCTCTTAATTTCAAAAGTTGTTATTTTTTAAAAAAAGTTTATTTTCAGAAATCTTACTTTAGTAGGTTCAAAGACATTGTTATTTCAAATATATTGGAATTAAGCCATCATTTGTCATTATGTGATCAATATGTGAAGGAAATTGGATTAGTCTTATCACACATCGAGGTGATTTTTAATTATCTATCTTTCAAAAGAGCTTCTACGATGGCTGCCATTATACCCAAAAAAAAAAAAAAAAGAAAGAAAAAAAGTTGGTCATGAAATGGCAAATAATATTGTGGTAGTTGAATCTGAATTCCGAAATTAGTATGGGTTCAGTCAATATCATCTGCGTTAGTATTTATTTTTCACAGGCGGCGGGCGGTGGGTAAACTTTTTTCTTAATCATAAGTAAGAAGCAATTTGTGCGAATGTCCGATTAAACAATACCTTGATGCCCATTTGACTCTTTTCTTCATCTTAAAGAATAAGAGCAAAAACGAAGTCAAGCCAGAGAACGTTATTGTCTTTTGATACATAGTAGATGTCGTTTCTACTAGCTGTACGTTCTCCATATTTCTGTCGCTTTATAGTTGTCGTTTGAGTCGATGTAATTTTCCTTTTGTGACGGTCCTTCTTTAGTCTATGTCAACGATGAGATTTTTTATTCCTTTAAGTTGGGATTAGGAGATTTGAACTCTACACCTCAATCATGTGTAGATTTGTGTTTAGTTGGTGTATTTATGCTATAATTTGAATTATAGTTCGTGGTTTGTTATAATATTTTTTTTTCATAAAAAGCACACGTAAATCGAGAATGATTCTGAATAATAATTTTGAATTCATGACCTAAACGTCAACTTATTGTTAAATTTATGCCTATAGCCACAATGTTTTCTATTTGCTGTCGTTTTCCAGTGGAAGTTAGTTTTTGAATTGGTTGTCGTTTTTCTAGTGGATTTCGTTTTTATATCTTCACTGTTTTACAGTAGATGCCGTTTTATCTTTGCTGCTGTACTTCCAGCGGATGTTTATTTGCTGTAGTTTTCCAATAGATTTCGTCATTTGTCTATCATTATGTTATTGTTGTTTGAAAATGACTTGTTTTTTGTTACCTTGTTGGCATTTCTCAAGAGGATATTGTTTCTGAGATTGTTGTCGTTTGTCAAAGTAGTCGTTTTTCTTTTCGTTTCTGTGATGTCATCATTTTCTCCGCCCTGTTGGTAATAAACAGGACAATGGAGAAAGAATATGAGTATGTTTTAGTGGTGAGTTTTAGAGTTTAAAATTAATTTTTTAGTTATCTACAGTTGGAATTTGTATTTATGAGACGTTTGATTCATGAATTAGAATCATAAGATTAGAATCATTTTCAATTTACATGTATTTTTTGTGAGTGAAAACACTGTAGCGAACTATGAACCATGATTTAAATCGGGGTACGAATCCTCCAACTAAACAACCCAAGTAAAAATTATAAAAAGTTATTTTTAAAATTTTTTTAAAGAATTTACAGTCAAAATCAGAAGCAATTTAAAGGCAATTTTAACTTTTAAATTGTGTGATAAATTAATAAAATTTTTATAATACCTATAATATTTCTGAAATTAATACTTATATAATTATAATTTACTAAACACTCAACTGTTTTTTATAATAACTATTTTTTTTCAACATAACTAATAATATATTTTTTTTATAAAATCTACAGCACTGCTAAACTGACCCAACAAGAGGAAGAGGAACTAACGAAAGATAACATAGAACTTTTATTCGATAAAATTATGAAAAGAAAGTTCTACAAATTTTGTTTATTTTACCGATTTGAGTTTTTAATTTTAAATTTTTATAATTAAAATTTTTTAAAAATATCACATCTCAATTCAATTTAAAAACTCGAATCTACAAAATAAATTAAGCCAAAGAGAAGATCATAAACTTTCATGTAATATTGCTAGGAGACGTCATTAAGGCAATGACACACCTTCTCAATGTAAACCATGCATGCAATAACAAATGTCCAGGGTGCCGATAGGCCTTTAAAAAGCAAAGAAAAAGTCTGATAGCGACATTTTTGTATCAGATGGCTTTGAGGGATAGAGAGAACGTTTATGGATAAGAAATCGAAAATTAAAAGGGGAAAAGATGAATTGTCACAGAAGAGAGAGAGAGTACGCAGATATACGGAAACAGGAAAATAGGAAGAGAGAGGAAAATAGTAACCTTGATTGGACGTAAACCGGAGTAAAAACGTGATTCAATTTTTTAAATGAGGTGTCTTATTTTAATTGATTATACATCAATTATGTCACACAGCATATTTGAATTCTTCTCTAGTATATGCCGAGTTACCTTTGCTGTCTTTTATTTTATTTTTATATTGAGGGAATGACATTTTTTCTTGCTATAGTTTTCTATTTTTCTAATGGATGTATCCTATAAGTTGTGTCTATCATTTTATCATTGTCGTTTTTCCGACAAATGTCATTTTTGCTCTGGTGTTTGCATTTTTTTAGAGGACGTTGTTTCTTGGACCAATTTAGTTCGTTAATTTTAGTTTTTAATTCGAGTTGAGATGTGATTTTATGTGAGAATTTTTTACTGTAGTAAAAAAATTAAATATGACTGTTTTTAAAACTTTTTACTGTAGTAAAACTTAAATTTTAAATTCGAATCGGTGAAATAAACGGGACATAAAATTATTGTTTGTCAAGTTAGAGAAAGAATATTGAAACTAATAAAAAAACAATATTATAAGGGAATAAAGAGCGGGAGAAAATTAAAAGAAAGATAGATGAACTTTATTAGGTAGATTTATTGAAAAAAAGTTGACAATTATAAAGACAAGTTCATTGCTTGGAGAGTTAATCAGTGATTGCCATAGCAAGAACAAACATCTTTACTCTGGCAATTGGCCCTCAAATAGCACTGCCAAAGGTTGCCTTGCATTCGTCTGACATATTTGGAACTGTACATGATTTCACGTCGAGTATTAAGATATCGTTTATTTCACTGATTTAAATTTATAATTTGAGTTTTATCATAATAAAAAGTTTTAAAAAATAATCACATTTAACTTTTTTACTACAATAAAAAATTTTCATATAAAGTTACATTTTAATTTAAATCGAACTAAACTGATTCTAAAAGTACTTCTTAAATTTCAATGACTTGGAGTTTGGAAGCTTCAGTAGTACTTGCCATGGAGAACATCATTAATCCCACCAAAACAAACACAACATTCTTCGTACTCCAACGCTTGCTGCTTTGTCCACCGAATTCCGTTGTAAAATTTTATTATTATTAATTATAAGCTAATCGCCACTCTCT